AATTTCATAAATTCCCTTGATACTTCTAAGTAGTATATATCTACTTCCACTGCCTCTCCTTTATCCTTCATGCACTAATAATCACTGGTTGAGTTTATCTCGCAGACTTTTCAGCTTACACTAACGTTTCTCCTGTTCGAAACGCTTCTACGTGAGTTGAAAGAAGTCTCGATCCAGTAGGGTTTACTATTGATTGATAATCTTTATTTCTCATTTTTATGGTCGAAAATCCTTTTCATGTCCCACTAATTTTTCACCGACTATTTGATATACACTCTTAACATTTCCATCTTTGAATTAATCATAAAGTTCTGGTTTTCCTGTGTTATGTCACTTTTAGATCTATACATGCTTCCACTTAAGAATATTTGGGACTAAATTATGAGTTATCGGGGAATCATCTGTTAGATGGTTATTACTGTAGAATCTATTTAGATTCACTTTTAAGTTGGAGGCGGTCATCATCATGCTAGAAAGTATTTCTACTTTTGTCTAAAGTTTGGTACTTACTTGAAATAAATGATCATCTGAGTATGGTTATATCAAGCCGTCAATTACCGATTCCGCTGGTTAGGATTAAGAAAGGACTGTTTTAGTATTTTCTGTTCGAATTAGTCTGGTTAATTGGGTCCATTTTAATCCTGCCTGAAACTTTCAGTTCCATTTAGTCAACGTATGATCGATTGTCCCTTGGGATTTTGTTCAGAGGTGGGATGATGAATATTTGCTATGTAGCCTGTAACAACTCAATAGATCAGTCCTACTAATCATGTTAGATCCTACAAGTAATGAATTTTGTATCCTTTGTATGAGTTCCGGAGACTTATCCACGAATGCCAAGATTTTGGAGTTCTGGCTAGTGCGTCTGATCTAAAACAGCGCCTGAATATTAGAATCTCTGTTATGGAAAATGACTTCAAAAGACTAGGGATGTCTTTCCATAAACATAAGTTGTTGGCGCGGTTTGTAAATTTGGAAAATGAAAAATAGTAACAGAAATATGAAAGTATCCAGGAATAAATAAAACAAATTGATAGTGAAGAGCATGAACGAAAGAAACGCTAGAGGTTTATAAGCTGTCAATACTTCCCGGCTGATCATAGTAAGGGAAAATGTTTATTGATTGTAAACTCATAAAATTAATGACGAACACTTAATATATTTGGAAGCCTAATCATTCAAGCTAAGAAACATCTGCAGTCGGCCGGCTACACGTTTATATATACTGACTTTGTTTTTAAATCTTGTACCAGCTTGGTTTGCTCGTGAGGAAAGAAAGGTTGTGTCATTTTTAAGTCTGAATTTCACTTATCATTCCTTCCGTTTGTTTGATATCAGGATATCTCGAGATGTTGACTTTCTATGGGAAAGACGTTACTGCCACTACATCCCGATATGGTTAGCAGTGCGACTCCGTACTTTATCCTCAGACTAAATTCAACTATATTAGGATCTGCCATATTTTCGCCAACTAAATAGCCTAATGTTTGTGTCAATGAGCAGTTTTTGTCCTCAGTAAGTTGTTTATACTGTTTTAAATTGTCACAACGATAAACTTAAACCCAGTACATTTGTTATGGATTCAGTGATAACAATATTTGTTTTTCATTTTACTATTCATTTTTGCAATACATTAATTTTCCATTTAGGTCGCATGTCCTTGGCGTGCACTCGGATGTGATTTTATTGGCCAGTTATCCCTTCTACCCGGTCATAAGAAAACATGTGTCATGAATCCAAGTTCTATGCCTCCAGCTCTACGTGCTCATACCTCAGCTTCCTTAAATCAAGTTAATAGCAATCAATCTCTAGATCTGAAATCTTGTAAAAATAATCAACAGTCGTCAGTAAAAGTTAGTTTTGTGTTTCAGTCACAACTTCCTTTGAATACAATTACAACGGCAGAGGGAATTATTGGTGGTAATCAATGTCCTAATATTCATAGTATTGAGTCAAGAAATGACTCAATTTCCTACGACGGTGCTCATGAAGAAAGTCTTATACTTGTTAGTGATGATGAAGCTAATTTACCGCCTGCTCCACCACCCAGTCTTTTGTTCCGACTATACCATAATTCTGATGCTAATAGTCGTGGTTTATTATGTGATTTTATACAAAATGGTTCAAATACTACAACTCAGTCCTCTAGTATTAACAATAAAAACAAGAATAGCCCTAATAAACGAGGACGTAAAAAATAAACTTAAATTAAATACTGTTCCGGTTGATTTCTCAAAGCATTTCAAACTAGTGTTCAAACTTTTGCCTAATATGTACATTTGTAAACACAAATATCTGAAATGTTTTCTTTTAAATGTTGTTTAAAAGACATCAATTGTTGTTTCAGAATGTGTATGCCATACTCATTCTTTCATTAAATTCAAGCATACCGGTGAATATTACGTTGGTCACGTTATGGCAACTCAGTTGAATTGCACTCAGTCGAAATCCCGACATCGCTCAGTCTCTGGCAAAACTACTTACAAGCGATGCCAAAAAGGTGCATAATTACGCATTAGTTTTAGCGTGCTTTCCGCTATTTGTGAACATAGGTCCCCCAGTAGGTTAAACCGAGTGAACTGCTCTGTTTGCTTTTGGGAATGTTTGGTGCGTGGTCTGCGAAGTCCGAAGAGGTAATCAGTTATCTTGTGATACCACATTAGCTTTAAGTGGACATTTATTTTCTATTTAAGTTCTAAGAATCTATCGTAAATCAGCCCAACAGGGTTAGTATTAATAAAATCTCATTCCACCGTTGTTTGCTTCTCTTGATGAACATTTTGTGGGCTGTCTTGATGTGCAATGTTGACTGCTAAAGTCAATACGTATGTACGCCGGAACCTAGGTATTACTTATATTATAATCAAAGATAAATGGTGGCTAGTAGTTGAATCCAGGAAACGTGTGTCATCCAATTTGGGGCTCGTAAGCTGGATGAACCTACATCTCAAAGTTGATGTCCACTCTGGGACTGGAACTCAGTACCGTTCGCTTCAAACGTCATCGCGTTATCCACTTAGCTACTGAGTCATAAAAGCCACTTGCTTGTGCAATGGGGTGAAGTTTAAATTCACTTGGTATTGTTTGTTTGAATCTTCCCATTGACGTTTAGGACTGCAATTGATCAGTCTCTTATTGGCATGTGTGCGTATTGCCTCGATACAGCCTTAATTCACAAGCATTATATGCAAAGATGGCTAGTGGTTAGTAGTGGAACAGGCGTTATGGACTCAATCTCTTCCTAGTTTCCTCAACTGGCGATGTGTTTCTAGTATCTTGCGTAGATAGTCGTTTAATGGTGGTGTTAATAGTTCTTCAAGTTTCAGCTCCGTGCATTTAAATTTTTCTAACGTTGGTATTGAAGAGTCTGACTTGGGTAATAGTTCTTGAAAGTTCAAGATATTCTCATATTGTAGGTATGATGTCTTTGCTTTTCCAATTACTGCCTTCACATCTGCATCGGATTGTTTTTGTTTATCGATGATCATGCCCAAGAACAGTCCTTTCACCAGGTGTGATTTGGTTGGTGCTCACTGAGTTGTATCTCAGGGCCTTTCTTTTTCCGTTGATTGAGACTTACTACTGAAGAAACCTCTGCGACACTGACTGTACGTCTTGCTACGTGTGCAGTAACAGGACGAATTCCGAATAATCCAGCCGTGCTTAAAGGATAATGTGTAGGTCATGAGTATACTTGCGACAAGTTACGAATGTTGATGTTAGTCAACAACTCCTAGTAAACCTTTTAATGGGGTTGTGAACCTATAATGAGACGACAGAAGAATCTTTGTTACACACCCAGCCACCGAATTTATTAGCACATTATGCCCATCATTATGAGTGGGGACTAAGTTAAGACATGGGATCGGTCTGTGCTACATGGGGGGACATATACCTACTAGAAAAGATGTACAGGACGGTCGTAATCAATTGTAAGGAAACTTAGTATGGCATGGTTGCGACTTATGACAGGCAAATATATATTCCTTACCTTTATTTACTTATTAAAAAGCATATGATCATGTCTTCCTTTGCTCACGCTGATTCATCTATTCTTTATTTCGATTCACACATACCGTTGTTAGTTTATTACCACTCGTTTTTCCACTTGCCATTTTTAAAGCGCTCCGATTTGAGCAATATGCAAATATTACTAAGACCTGCTTAATATTAATTGAACACTATTGAATCGCTTAGGGTGAAATTTTAAAATAATATTTGGATTTATAACTGTGATAAACGTAATTAGCTATGTTTAACGCTCAAAAGCAATCAATAATTAAAAAAAATTATGACGTGACACTTGTTTAGCTTAAGGCTATTTATGTACGTCCACATTGAAGAGTGACTCTGTTCAGACAAAAATCATTACTTCGGATTATGTGATCTCGAATTAAATCGATTAATCTAAATGAATGTGATTTCATCACGCTCGGTCTTCATATATGATGTCATCTTCACGGAGGTTTTGCGCTAGCAGATATTGTTATACAGTTCAACCAACCTGGAAAGCATATCTGACCGCCTATTTAATTACATTGTACTTGCATTTTAATGAAACTGTTGGTGTGATATATAATTTAAAAAATCATGTAAATGTATACATTTATCAAAATAAATTCAATTTCTGACTTAACTGAAACGATTGATTTGGTTACAGAAGTATTACAACTACAAAATAGAGTTGATTAACAGGTGGAAATAACATTTTGATCACTTTTATTTAATGAATAAATCATCCTCAAATACAGATACTGTAGTTATTTCACGTCTTATTTATTGAGCGAATGTAAGACAAGAGAGTAACAAAAAACTTTAAGTAATTTGAATAAATGAAGGTTTTCTCTGAATTCATAAATCAAACATTTCTGGAGCGTTTTATACATAAAGAAATAAACCAATAATTCAAGATGAAGATAATCATTCGTTCCTGCTTCTCCCGAAACTCGGGTTAAATAAAGTAGCATTCGAAGAAGGCAGATATGAAAACATTAGCTCAATTAATCCTTGGTTGAATTTGATATTGTTAAACATTCAGATAAGGATGGACCTTTAGGGCCGTAAGGATCTTCAGGAAGAAGAAATGTGTTCCCTGACATTACGTATGGAAGTAGTCTGAAAAAGCAATGAATTAAAAGGAAATATATGTGAAGGAAAAATGAATTACTAGCTAAGGGGACTACTTATGACCTATTTTTATTTTCACAGGTTGAACTGTATTAAAATGACAATATAGGGAATAAAAAATAAAACTTGTATGTTTCATAAAAACTTTCGTCGATTGTGCAATGCTTTGATGACATAAGCTGAGGAAGTATTGGCAAACAGAAGGAAACAATGAGGACAACAACAAAGCGTCAGCTTTCCGAAAATAAAAAAATGAATTGTGAGTAAGAAGAAAACATCAGTTTCCTTAGGAAAGCATAACTGCTGATTCGAATGAAAGGTATCACAGAGGTCAATAATGTTGAAGGCTCAATACAGCCAGTCTAGACGTAGAATTTGAACGTATGTACATTAGTCCAAGTTGCCATACCCCATTAACATAGTGATAAAATTGTCAGGCCAAATCTCAGAATAGTAGAGGTAGTAACAATACCAGTGGGAATAGGAAAGATTAGGCATCGAAAATACAATTCAGGAAGAAAATATAAACTACTGAAAAGAAAACAGAAGTTATGAGGAATTGGGGGAAAGACAACAAATGGATGCAACTGCGCAATTGCAAACGATTTTGAGCCACGTCACTCAAAGTCTCTAACCATTAGTTAAGATAATTACGCATACTAGATAGTCTATAACTATTAATATGTCCAAGTCCAATTGTCTGACTTTATGGACTGATGTCATGTTTTAGTTCGGCTACCCTTAGCTTTCTTTCAGCCTACTCCTACACCAGAAAACATTGCCCGTCAAGGTAGGAGGTGGATGGACATATGTAACGTATGTCCCAATCACCTCAGTTGATGAAGATTAAATACCTCTTGAATCGAATTGCCATCTTTGCCCTGTGCTCTATTCCTAACACAGACACAAATACTAGTAATCTACGAATATCATTTACTCTTAATAGCCGTAATTCGCACCCATAGAGTGGAAGAGAACGAATCGTTGAGCAGTAAACTCGCCCTTTGGTTAAAAGATGAATATCTCGCTTACGCCACAGGTGACGCAAGTTGGCGAAAGTCGATGAAGCTTTTCGAATCAGTGCAGAGATTTCGTCAGACCTCAGGACAAACGAAACACCCAAGATAAGTTAAGCAGTCGATGCGTTCAACTACTACACTCACCATCATTAGTTCAGCCCATGACGCAAGCCAATTCTGAAGTGACATTCTACATTTGCAGGGAGAGAACCGCATCCCAAACATGTTTAGATTGTTACTTAGGGTGGTTGGAGGATTGTATTTTGTCTGTGTCTTCACCAAACAGAACAATATCACCTGGGTATTGTAAGTCAACAAGTGAATCTCCTCGCGATTAACGGAGTCGAATGCTGTCTTACGGTCAAGGGATACACCTACAGTTGGACGTCGAAAAGTATGTCTATGTTTCAGAATCTGCCGGGTGGTGAATACTTGGTGTATACATTAAAGTCCAGATCTGAAACCATACCAGTTTACTCGGGTTCGCTCCTCACGAGCTCTAGCTAGACGTCGAGATATCATTTTAGACACTAAAAGCAAAACTAATTCTTCTGTGATTATCACATGAGGATTTTTGCTCTTTCTGATGAACTGGGACGATCAACGATCGCGACCACTCATGTTAGTCTAACTGCTAAAACTAGACACTCTCCTTAACATTATCAAGGGTTAATCCATCAGTTTGATGGAGAATGTTGGTGGGCGGTCTATGCTCCTCTACGAGGGGTAACAGGAGTAGGTGAATAATCCACCACACCCTGTTGATTTCCCTTGAATAGATTATCTACAGCCTTGCATCAGTGAACAAATTTAATGAAGCGATTTGTAAGACGACTTTGAAACATAATTACATAGCCTTTTGTCATAAGACTATAAACCATATACCATTACACCAAGCTCACCATAGTTTTGATTTCGATTACAAGCTTCAAGATATTACTGTTGATTAGTAACGTTACTCAACTTTTCAAACGAACATTGTATGATTTATTATAGACCATTTAAAATGCAACAAGCGAATGTTGCGCACATTTGAAGTTAATTACTTTTTCTATCATTTTGTTATAAGTAAACGAAGTGTAGTGCACGGAGTTCAAATATTCGAATATTTTTAACAGATCATTCCACCTGCAACGGAAGTTCTTAACTTCGAACGAAACTTTTCTTGAAAAAAACTCAGTAAATCGTCCAGCATCTCGTACACTTTGGAAAATCTAAATAAATCTCGAATAACAAAAATCGAGGTATTTTCTAAAATTTTAACTGATCATGAATGCAAAAGGAATAAAGATTATTTAACACTTTGAATAAGTTCCTTGAAATGTGTGGTGAGAACAAACTTCGGAAGTTTGAACATTATAATTCAGGTTGAAATTGTCTGCAAAACCATTAGCAGAATAAATGATAATTGTGAAGATACAAAATTCTACTACTATGCTCGATGTTATCTTTAAAAATGAAAAAATGACCTTTTGCAATTGTTATCTTTGATATGATGGGATTAAAAAGCGAAATTAGGTTTTTTCGCTGCTTGTGATTTTTGGTCAATATTTCTTCCGTGTTTTTTTTTAACTCAATGCGTTAATTATTCAGAGTAATATTTGTGTTTATTTGACATTGTGATATTTTATTCGGTTTAACATTAATTTATTTGAGTATCATGTTTATTCAAGATATGATATTCTTATATTAGATTAATGTAAACTATGCACAGCATGTGATTCGTTATAACTATGGGTATTTTTCATATATGTGATTTCATACTAATTATTAATCAAGATGGGTGTACAATCAATATATAAATGAGTGTAGTTTCGACTGTTGTCGTTGTCTTGATTTGGGGTTAATTAACCTTGATTTGTGCCAGTATTGATGTTTTTAGTTCGCGTCGTGGTATCTGAAAGGGTTTCTCGTTTTTTCAAGTATAAGTAATAAGCAATCTTGACGAAACAGTTGGTGACTAGATATAACAATTGGCGTGCAGTTATAACAGTTGATCACCAGACATCACAATCTTGATCTGAGATCTTTTGGTGACTAGGTGCATAAGTCCTAAAGACACGTTAAGGATTATCTATACTGCTACATCTACGCAATTTGTCAGTAAACCTGAGTTGAACACAACATTTATTAGAAATCAGAACTGTGAGATCCGATTATTTTATAAAGATGATAAATGACTTTGTCAGGGAAATATAAGTGGAACCAAAACTGAATTCGATAAAAGCGTTGATATGACATAGTTGAATAAACAAGCTATAACCCTGAACGAGTTTAATAACTTTATCTAGTCTTTGAATGACTTTCTATATGATAGAAAGTTGTTTAAATCTGATACTAAATTTTTAAAAAAAAAACATTTTAATTCAAGCCATATTTCCTCTTTAACAGATAAAACTGGATGTAGGACTGTACGCGTACGTATCAGTTAACCTCAAAATAAAAAGAAAAGGTTATTTAGTGCTGCTTTTAACAACAGTAATCTAGCTGATGAAAATTACTTCTAAATTTTCATTTAATGTAATAAAGTGACCAAACACAAGCTAATGAAATATAGGTTTGATGTCGAAGTAATTAATTTGCACTACTCAGCATCTGGAGCCGAAGTAGGTTTGCTGAGTTAAAAATTGATTGATTTAGTTAGTAGGCTACCAATCCACATACTTAATACAATGTTACAGCAGGACTGTTCTAACTAGCCAATTAACGTACAAAAATGTAAAAATCACATCACTTACCTTGTTTCAATAAGTTTTCTAAATTTAGCATTTTCCGACATAAGATCACGATATTGATCATTGGATATGATGACTGCATTCTTATCAGCTGCCAACTGCAAGATTACGCTGGATATTCACAGAAAAATAGACAGATTTTTAAAAACTGCATACTTGAGTAAATAATTTAGAAATCTCTATAAATTGTAAAAGTGATGTATTTTGTAAGTTTCAATGGCTAAGTAAAACCATAATACCGAATTACTATTTCCTGTTTATCAGGATTTAGTTAGGAGTTGTATAGTGACGGTAACATTTATCAGAATGATAGTGTTTAATGATTGTTTAAATTTGAAAATACCACCCAATTAATAGCAGAAGTGATACTCCCATTAATAAAAGTCTAACAGATGTCAAAATATTATAACTTCTGCTAGGTTTGAAGCTATCATGAGTTCACTTAATCTGCGAACGAGAACAAAGACTCGATGACAAAAGACCAGCAAGCTAGCTACTGATGCGTCCCAGCCCCGCTAACTAAAGAGAGAAGTTCAAGCTTGGAATAGGAAGTATATTCTGCAAAAAAAGCCAGAAACGAGCGATCCACAACACAATTCAAAAAGTACATATATATCAATTATATGTATATAATCGATATTGCCATGGAAGTTTTTTAAACATTTAATCGATAAGTTAGTCAATCGACTGCATTTCTCCCCTCTAAATGCAAGTTGTTGCTTCAGGACTGGCCTGCGTCAACATCTGAACTAAGGATAGGGAGTGAAGTGGTTGAATGCGTCGACAACTTTACTTAAATAGTGTCTGACGAAATCTCTGCAAGGATTCAGAAAGCTCGTATGGCTTTTGCCAATTTACGTCACCTATGGGGAAGGTAGATATCCATCTATCAATTAAAGGACGAGTATGCTGTGCAGCAGTTCGTTCTGATCTACTTTATAGTTGCGAAACGTGGCCATTAAGAGTAGAAGATACTCGTAAGTTACTAGTATTTGATAATAGGTGCACTAGAAATATTGCTCACATCTGCTGAGTTCACCGAGTAAGTAATAGTGAGGTTAGACACAAGGTATTTGGGAATCATCTCAGTCGACGAAGATTCACAACCTCATCAACTATATTACCATCATTCCCTAATACCCTGTGTCTAACCTCACTATTACTTACCGTCCCTAATCCTGACTAGTGTTGGGGATGGTTGGAAGAAAGTTACGGGTGTCCAAACCAAAACGTAGCATCGGTCCATAAAGTCACTAACTTCTAGTCTTAGCCATGTTGGTATATGCATAATGCATACTTAAAGACCTCTGGAGCCATTCAGTGAGGCGCAAGCAAATGCGTGCGCGTACTTTACTTTCTTCGTAAAAAGGGTTTGCTCCTTCCTTAACTGAAAGATTTCTTCTGGTTGTACCTTACCGTTCCCCCCATTATTACTATTATTCAGTCAGTCAGTTAGTAACAACGTAGAACTTCGTACGTACGTACATCAGTTCGAGTTGCCACCTTTACATTAGCACAGAGAAGCAGTGGTCGATTCAAATCCCGTAGTTGTAGAGGTAATAAGAATATAAGCAGTAATCAGGAAAATTAGTGTTTGGAGATGTTATTTAAAGAGTATAATACAGTGAAATAAATTTGGGAAGAGAAAAAAAGAGACAAGGAGGAATGAGGAGATCAAAATTTGGGAGAACACAAAGAGTGAATGCACCTGCGCCATTGCAAACGATTTTCAGCCATGTTATTCAAGGTCTCTAACCATCGGTTGCTTTCATCTCGCGGTCTCCAACCAGGTAGTCTACACTTACCAACATTACTCAGTCCACTTCTCAGTGACTTCATGGACTTGTGCCATGTTTTGGTCTGGCCGCCCCTAGCTTTCTTCCAACCTACTCCTATACCATTGAACATCGCACGTCGAGGACGTCGGTCGTTGGGCATACGCAACACGTGTCCAAGCCATCTCAACTGATGAAGTTTCACTACTTCATCAATTGACTTGCCATCCTTACCTAGCACCCGTTTCCTAACAACTGCATTACTTACTCGATGGTCCCACGATATACGAGCAATATTTCGAAGACACCTATGATCAAATACTAGTAACCTACGAATATCCTCTACTCTTACCGGCCATGTTTCACTGCCATAAAGTAGGATGGAACGAACTGCTGCACAGTAAACACGTCCTTTGGTTGATAGACGGATATCTCGCCTACGCCATAAATGACGCAAGTTGGTAAAAGCTAGTCGAGCCTTCTGTATCCGTGCTGAGATTTCGTTACACACCAGACCACAAGGGCTAATGAGACTTCCAAGATAAGTGAAGCGGTCGACACACTCAACTACTTCACTCCCTATCACTAGTTCGGGTGTCGATGTAACCCAATCCTGAAGCAACATTTTGCATTTCGAGGGAGAGAATCGCATCCCGAACATGCTTGCATTGTTGCTTAGAGTGGTCAGAAGACTCTGCATTTTGTCAGCGTCTTCACCAAATAGAACTATGTCATCGGCATATTCTAAGTCAACAAGTGAACCTCCCGGTAGAGTTCAACCCCTGTAAATTTAGATGAGGAGAGTGTTATCTCTAAAAGTACGTCAATGACAAAGTTGAAGAAGAATGGAGAGAGTGGGCAGTCCTGACGAACACCACTTGAGGTAATCAATTCTGATGATAGTTCGCCATAAGCTCTCACTCTACCAGTTGTGTTCGAGTAGAGAGCCTGTATAAGGTTAATATACTTCTTTGGTACTCCTTTCAGTGATAAACACGTCCAGGTCGAAAACCAGCCTGATTTTCTCTAGTCTGCTCTTCACGAGCTTTAGTTAGGCGTCGAAGTATTATTGAAGCTAATATTTTAGACACTATATTAGTCAAACTGATTCCTCTGTGATTGTCACAAGAGGACTTTTGTCCTTTCTTATAGACTGGCACAATCAGTGATTGAGACCAGTCAGATGGGATTACGTCCAGTTCCCAAATTCTACCTAAGACCTCAGTTAATCTCATTGCTAATACTGGACCACCATCCTTAAAAATCTCAGGAGTAAACCTGTCAGGGCCTGCTGCTCTCCCTCGTTTCAGATTTCCTATGGCTTTTTCAACTTCGTAAAGAGACGGAGGACCTACATTAACTTGCCATTCAGGTTGACTGGAGATCGTGGGAAACCGAAGTGTGGCTGAAGGCCAGTTGAACTGATCCCTAAAGTGTTCTGCCCATCGATCCAATCTCCTGGATTGAGAATGAATAATATGTCCATCTTTCTCTGAGATTGTTTCGCTAACGGTCGGGTTCCTAATTCCGGTTTCCTTAACGAGTCTGAACAATTGTCTGCTATTACCTATTGCCGCTGCCTTTTCCATCTCTCTTGCTTTCGCTACCCACCACTGTTCGCGATCATTGCGTAGACTTCTTGTCAGCTTGCGCTTAAGCTGACTCCGCTCTTCATTATGTTCAGAGCCAGGTGGAATGAGTTTCCGAGCATCTATCAGTGCGATAGATGCTGCTGAGATCCAGTGTTGCTCCCTAACCTTCTGGTTTACCTTACTAGCAGATATCACTGCTGTTTCCACAGCTTTTCGGATATCATTCCATGCTGCATCGGGGTGGGCATCACATACATGGCTGCCTAACTGTTTTCCTAGTTGTTCCTGAAATATACTCTTAGCTTGACTATCATTAAGTATGGCCCTAAGAGGTTTCCTTGCAGCGTCTTTCCTACGTCCAGTAAGACGCAAGCAAATACGCGCTCGCACTAGAGCATGATCTGAATCTAGGCATGTGCTCCAGAATGAGCGACAGTCTTCTATCGAGCCCCTCCATCGGTGGCTGATAGCGATGTGATCTATTTGGGTCCAACGTTGGGACGAATTAGGGGGTCGCCATGTTAAAAGATGTTTTTCCTTATGCTTAAAGTTAGTATTTGCAAGGAACAGGCGGTTATCTGAGCATAGCTGCAACAGACGGTCGCCATTATCTGTTCTTTGAGCCACGACACCATAAGATCCACCTAGGTGTCTTTCCCTATCGCTTAGTTTGCCTACTTGAGCATTAAAGTCACCGGCCACTATTACTACATCCGAGCGCCTAGCTTTTCGGAGAAGGTCCGAAAGCTTTCTGTAAAACTCATCTTTTACATCATCTGAGCTGCAGTCAGTGGGAGAATAGGCAGAGACGACGAAGAGGCAACGACGAGTGTCCCTATCTTTCCGGATTCTTACTGTTCCGTTCAGTCGGACAGCGCACAAACGACTGTCTACTGGGATCCACTCTAAGAGAGCTAGTTCTGCCCTAGGACTCAATGCTATACCTACGCCGGCGAGGCCACGGGAAGCAGAATCAGGGCTTCCAGATACACGAAGCGTAAATCGAGTCGGTTCTTTATTTTGGCATGGTGAGGTCAAATGAATGACGCTACTCGGATCCTGTATGCGCGTTTCGGAGACGCAGCACACATCGATGGCGCGGGATTCTAAAGTCTTAGCTAAGGAAGCCTGTTGTCCTATTTGGCACAGTGTTCGGACGTTAAAAGCTCCTACGTGTAGTTTAGAGCGTGGTTAGCTCCGTTCTTCAAAGGGCCTTACCGCCGGAGACGGAAATCCGTGAGGTAAGGTGGGTTGTGACATTTTTAGGGTCGACCTCTTCTAACCTCACCCGTCCTTGTGGAAAGGCAACATCGCTGTAGATACTGGTTGTCCGAGGAAAGCAACTGACTGCTGTCACACCCCTCCACAGTCAGCAGCACGACTTCGCCCTCAGACCTTGAGTTGCTGCTTTTAGTCTTACCGTTCTCCAATCGACCTGCCTAGCATGGTAGAACCTACAGGAACATACGTTCCAGCCAATATAGCTCGGTTGGGTCATCACGATAGGCAAGCCCGACCACCGCATCAAAGTAGCAGCTTCGGTCGGGTATAAATATTATTATTATTATTATTATTCTCTTTTTCTTTCACGCTCCTTACTTTTTTTCCCAGTCTTTAAATTCTCATTGTTTTGTGTGGCGCATATATATTTGGTGCCCTCTTGTACCAATATTTATGTGTTCAAATAAATAAATAATAAATTGGTGCAGGTGGTCGCCATGTTAGACGATGTCTCTCTCTGTGCTTAAAATTATTTTGCTAAAAATAAACGATTGTCTGAACACAGAGGATGTATCTCGTAGGCTCTCCGTTTTGGCGAAGTGAGGTCAAGTGAATAACCACACTAGGATCTTTTATACGTGTTTCGGAGACACATCATACACCAATGGTACAAGATTCTAGGGTTTTAGCCAAGAGGCCTGTGGCCGACTTGATACAGGGTGCATACGTTGAAGGCTCCAATGTGTAGTTTGGAGCGAGGTTTCAGTAGACCTGGGACAGTGTTTTGCGCACTAGAATCGTTGGCCATGGTGACACTTGAGGAGGAAGTAAGAGAGGAAGATTAGAGTTGAAAGTCGAGGTAGGAGGAATAATAGGAATTGAAGAGAGTGATTGATCATGAATACAGTGATCTTGAGTACTGTTAGAGGTATGAGGATAGTTATCACTTCCCAGTTGCCCACACCGTGGAAGGGTTCTTCTGGAGGTACCTGAAAAGGAAATAGGGTTAGAGGTGGTCTTAGTGAACTGAGAGCGTGACCACAGTGCCCAAGGGACAACTGCTTGAGGTTGGTCACACACGACATTTTTGTGGGTAATTTTCGTGTTAGCTCCGTACTTGTTGAGACCTTACCGCCGGAGAAGGAAATCCGTGGGATAAGGCGAGGTGTGCATTTTTAGAGTCGACCTTTCCTAACCTCATCCCTCTTTGTGGGAAGGCAGCGTCACTGTTATGCGGATTTTATAAGAGGAACACCTTACTGCCGTCACACCTTTGTACAGTCAACAGTACGATTTCGCCCTCAGACCTTGGTTTGTTGCTTTTAGTCTTACCGCTCCTTAACCGACCTGCCTGGCATGGTAGGACCTTGAGGAACGATTGTTCCAGACAGTATAGCTCGACTGGTTTATTATGATAGAGAAGCCCGACCCCCACGTCAAAGTAGGAACAACGGTCGGCAAGTAGCGTATTAAAATAGTAACAAACTAATCAACGAAAAGAATTATCAACCGCGGTAAAATATAGAAAGATGCTTGCTTGGTGAATTTCGGTAAGGGAAAACGTAAATTCAAAATCTAAAAACTATAAAAACAGTCTTATTAGCAAGAAATTGTCTTCAACATAAACCTACCGATCATCATACACTGCTTGTCTTTCTTGATTCAAAGTTCGTGATGGTGTATAAGTCAACATACCAGAATGCTCAAGTTCATCGAAATAACGTCCACCTTTGCCTTGATAATGTCTAGGTACTACAATAACTATATCTTTATGGCCACGTTTTTTTGAAGTAATCTAAGGCTAGACGAATTCCCTGAACACTGAATTCTTTTTGTTTTCCATGGCTACAAGATAAAAAATACAAAGCAAAAAGAAAAACATACGGAATCCAAGGAGTTAATAAGGAAATAAACATTTAGATATTAATTTATTTGGATCAAAATGTTTCCCTGTTTGAGATTCATGAATGAATTTATAATTATCAGTCAGTATACAGGCATATATTCATATTGCTTTGCAGTTTATAGGTAATACTGGCTGAACATTTTAAGAATTGAATTAATGGTGCTGGGTTTCAGTCAGAATGTCAGCATGAATTATTTTCACCTGAAAACAATGAAACGCTATTTAATCTCAACACAGAGCACACTACCAGTACACTGATATCGGTTTACAGTGTACACTCAACTTTAAATCAGACAAATTTCTATAAAAATACTTGTGTAAGATACGTTTTATGGTAAAGCAATAAAAGCTGAACGATTATTTGTATTCGTTAAAAGATAAGCGTCATATAGAGATATTTCGATACTGTAGTGGTAGCTGCAGAAAATCTGAATATTTAATAATCAGCTGGTATCAATTAAAAATTGAGTAAATATTAACAATTTATGATCACATGCTACAATTTAAAAAAAACCCATTATAATGCCAGACAAGTTAGAAGCAGATACCTTGTCATATTAAAAAAATTGAATTTAAAATTGTAAGTAAAATCAATTTATTATAATTTATTAAGTTTGAAATAAATTGTATTGTAATAGTAACTTAAGTCTTGATTGTACGTTAATTAACAATTCAAAAAAAACTAGTCGGGATACATATATAATTGAGTATATGAACCATTCTTCTGGTCAAGTTCATGGCTTACATGTCCTAGTTTGGATTAATGAGGACACATACATAAATCCATGAGTTATGTAAGCATTCATTCGCGTTTTGCAACAAAGCTTCCTACATCTGGTTACTATTCCTAGTCTCACATAGAAGGTTTTGTCAATGGTCACGAGACGTATATTGTAAATGAATTGACCAAGTGGATCATAATGAGTGGTGTTTTTTTTCTAGCACGAACTTCTGGGTATTATGAAAAATAAGGCCAAATTTTTCGAAACCCTATTTCAAGTTGCTGAGTTCTAGTGTCACAACGAACCACCGTATGAACATCCACACACTTCTGATTATGCTGTAAAAAGTACCAGTAGTAAATAAGTCCATCGGTGTATATTTCCCTTTTTTGCTGTTGGGAGATGAGGCAGGGGATAATACGGAATAGAAAGTCTTCCGTAGTGTTGCGCATCATTCAAAACGATATTCCTTCGAAGTTTGGGTAAGTAAACGTTCATTTCTATTACTATTTTGCAATATATTTGCCATAATCGATTTCGTCGAATCTATTCAGAACTTGATTTGGTTATTTTAATAGCGGGAAGTCAGAAATAACTTCCTTGACAAACTTTAAAAAGTTCAGCAATGCGATTGAAAATCAGAAACAAAGAAACTTTAATTTACAGACCAATGATCAAAATTGTTGATTTATAGTTTAGTGATTTATTGTCAATCAACTACTGGTTGCTACTCGCACCAATAATAATAATATTTACAAACCCAGAGCAACTTACGCGAAACTCACATTACTACCGTCAATTATAATGGGTCTTAAGCGAGGTTGTAATGATTTATCTGACTTTATCTTAGAAGAATTCGTTAATAAAGACAATTGGTTCGATTCATTATCTAAAATATTGATAGAAATACATTGAATGGAAAGTTATTAATATTGCTATTCTTAAGGATTGTAAACTGGTAATAACTAATAATGAATACAATATGGACAATCAACTAGCTGTAAACGGCTATAAGAATTGGCTCTTTACTACGTAATGTCCGTGAAGAAGAAATAAACACAACCATCAATACAAATGAAAACGTAAAATCTAATATACTGATATGTAAATGTATTAAGATGCATATACAAGTCACTGATATAAACCATTATTTGAACAATTCCATTACTTACCCAAAATGACGTCCCCTTTTTAAAAGAACTGTTGACGTTTTTCGAAACATTTTACTAGAGTATATATAATCTACATTCTGTCTGTAATAAGAACGTTAAAACATATTCAAAGACCATATTTTTCCGCTTCCTTGTTTAAAATAACTAAGATACAAGGCAAACTACTCTGTCGACCCAAGTAGTTAATGTGTAATACGGATTGTGATGATACATATTTGTGTTATTAAGATAATGACAAAAAGGTTATCTTTACTGCGTAATGACCGATAACTGCTCATGAGAATCAATTATGGATTCAAACATTTCGAATGAACTGACATCAAGAGCAACGCAACTGCCCAGTAGTATAGGTTTTTAAGCAGTAAAGTGACTAACTCATGTACAAAATACTGAACACAATTATCAGAATGCTTATGTTATTTAAAACAATCGACTGGATTAAGAGATAGTCAGTCACTCACGCCGCAATAAAATTAAGACGTCTATTAGCCGACTTCATATCACATAAATAATATAAAATCAGAGACGGAATGTCGAAATAAAGTTAAAAAAACACAACAGAAAACATATAGCTGTAGAATATTTGTGAGTTAGAAGTCGGAGCAGAGATAAGCTTGTCACCATGACTGAACTCGAATCATTAAGTCTAACATCTGAAGTAACAAACGGCTTCTTAACTAGCAAACATTAAAAATACAAGTTGAGAGAGCACCAGCCTTTAATTAGTTTTTCGAAAGGTCTAAACAATTGGATAATTTGCGAATCAGTGGAACGTCTCCATTTAATCATGTTCAAGTACTATTTGTCTCATTTTGCTTCAAATATGATGGTGTATCGAAGATCACCTAAGTGCAATGCATGTTACAGTCACTTACGTCCGTGAGAATTTGAAAATCTGCCTTACTTAAAAACGTTTGTTCAGTGATTTCATCACAGATGAGTAATAGTTAAAAGATATAAACGACCGGTTATTCGTAATAAACTCATGGTGGAAATTTGTGATCACCGTATAACAATTCCGAAACCTAGCGCCTACTGATTATATAAATATTTCATAGCAACCATAAATAATAAAAATGGGTAATATTGTTACCCATTTGTAAATACATTCGGATTTCAACGGAGATGATCTGTTGCCCTCAAGTTGATTTCTCGTAGCGGAAGTGTTGCTTACGAAATTGAGAGGTTGAAAAGCGAATGTCCGACGCTTTATCCAGGTTAGTGAGTACGGAGAGTCCACATAGAGGAGTTGGAAAACCTTGATTCCAAACCAATGGTGTACATGGGCTCCAGGATCCTGAGAGAACAAATGGCGTATGAAACTATTGTTGGTCACCGTCCACCATAGGATTGCATCTCCTAACGTTACTCCATTACCCTATGGATCAGACCTCTAGGTCAAAGGCTTGGGGTGTGAATCCTAAGAAAACCACCTATTTCGCTTTGGGCATCCGGACAGTATCACAGCCCTCACACAAATCAATGATAATTACTACTGGGAAAATTTTTATTGCTTCAACACCCGCCCAGATAACTTTATTCACAACCATATGATAACGTTTATTTTTATTTCTTTAATACTACTGTGGTGTGTGCTACTTATATTGACAAAAGTAGTATATGATGTTTGTCGTGGAAAAAAGGTCTGGCAGCAGAGACAAGAGGATCGAACAGTAAAAATGGAAACAGGATGCAATTTCTATGAAAATACAAGAACAATGAAGTCTGAGTCATTTTGAGACAACTGGTGGACATTTCGCAAATTAAGCATTTACTTTATGATTGTTAGATTTTATTAACAAGTCCTGTAATTTTGTGTTACTTACATTCGATTGTCCCCACTGGTGTTCTTGTTCACTACAATACTTAAGAGTATTAAAAATGGACTAATTTATGAGTTACTAACCAGTCCTGTAATTTTGTGTTAAATACATCCGATTGTCCCTACCCGTGTCCTGATCAATACACTACGTCACTTATTTACTCCACTTTACTCTCATTTTACGTATTATACTTTTCAAATTATACAGCAGCTCCTCTATGGCGGAAACCATATCCTATCTAAACGATCTCAAGTGACCAACTGGCCGACAGTTGAATGCTACCACTGACTAAAAATACTGAAACAGTTTTTCTGAAACCACGTATACCACTGGTTTCCTTCAACGTCCGCAGATAAGACAACAGATAGGGTTGTTTATGTCTTTAGAAAGTCTCAACATTGATGTCTGTTGTCTATCCGAGAGTTTAGTGAAGTACTACAAATTCGCTCTCCGTCTGTCACTTCGAAAACATTGTTTCACGTGGGGCGGCCAAACCAGCATGTGGAATCGGTTCGTGAAGTCACTAACTGTCAAACTGAGCCGTCCTGATAGATTCAGGCTATCTAGTTGATGTCCGTGTGATATTCGCGATCGGTGATTGGAGACATTGGGTGGTATGGCTCAGAATCAGTCGCAACAGGGTAGATGTATTCACTCCTTATCTTTCCTTAGATCTTGAGTTTCTTTAATTTATCTCATATTGGTTTATTACACTAATCCATGTACTCTGACCTACTAAGATATTATATGTCTAATTGTTTTACTACTTCTAATATGGTTCATACTTATACTTCTCTGACATCTTGTCATTGTGTTGTACTTCGGTAACAGATTGATGTATATATGTGCCAGGGTGCACGTTCCATCTGTCTGACTGGTTCAACTCACATAATTACTTTAGTGAACTTTTTCTAAATAATTTTAACTCATATCGGTAAATATTTCAAGTCAACACTGACTTTCATCACAGCATGACTCCGTCGTATGTGAGTAGTATATTGACATTTAATCCTTCAAGTACATAACAACATGATTCTTATTTATGATCTAAATGATTATTACAAAACTATAACAGTTTTAGGTGCGAGTTTTTCCCACCTCAGCAATCAAATTGAAAAACAACTTACCCAGTGTTTTCATATAGAATTTGTCTTGTGAACATTGTTCACTATCTGAATGAATTTATCCTCACTACCAGTGGACATGGAAATTATTCGTAAACTACAGGTATATTGATTAGTGTATAATTCCAAATGGTAGAAATGTGATGAGTACAACCTTTTGATTTCCGAATGGTTTGCAAACACAAGATTATTGTTAATCTACACAGTGTATAACTAACGTGAAAATATGTAAAATTCCTTGTATAATCTACTCGGCCAATATCTAATTGACATAGTATGAAATATATCATGTATGAACATCGATATATATATATATATATATATATATATATATATATATATATATATATATAATTATGTATTAAGAGCAAGAGAAAGAATAATAACGCTCACCTAGATTAATTGATTCTGAGTTACTTGCTTCACACTTACGATAAGCCTCTACAAAATGTACATTTTCGACTGCTGAATCAACTAAGAGACTATCAGAAGTTACAGTAGCCTCAGGTTTTTCTAAGGAAATGAAATAATTTATGAGAGCTAGCTTCATTGCGTCAGTGCACTGTAAACCATTATAGTTCACGGAATACTTCTCACATAATGTCTTCAAAATTGAGACTTTTAAATCGCTTAAATGAGCACATTTGACTTCTAAAAATGACTCTAATAAATGTAAAATTCGTGAAAAACGTTTGATTCCAAGTGCACATCCTTTAATGATCAATACATTAGATTTTTTAATAATTATGACAATATTGTACGTCAGTTCAAAATGATAAATTATTGTTGGATTACTGAATAATTCCAAACAATCCATTGAAGTAATCGTACTAATTGAAACCGATTCTGGACTAATAAAACGCAGTGCGTAATCCTGTACAAGAAGGATTTATTTTCATGTAAACTCAACAACACATACTTGAGCTGCATTCAGTTTATCTGCAGTTCCGCATATTTTAAGTTTATCTTGAGATAATGCTGCAGATACTCCATAACAATTTTCAAGCCGACAAAGTAATACATCCAGATTTTCGGTCGGATATGGGATGGTAACATAAACTGACATATTTCACCCTTGCTAAAATATACTACATACTACAAAAGAGTTTTAAAAAAAGATAGAAATGAAATCTATGGTAAGTTGCTCCTTTTCAGTAGTTTACACACAAACTGGATTCCACTATCCATCTTTGCGTATAATACTTTACATAGTTATACAATTACGAATATGTCCGTCATTCACTAATCCACGTTACATATAATCAGTTATTCAACATAAGCATTGGTACAAGGAAAAACCAAATATATATGTGCCACATAAGTGTGAGGGCTGTGATACTGTCCGGATGCCCAAAGCGAAATAGGTGGTTTTCTTAGGGATTCACACCCCAAGCCTTTGACCTAGAGGTCTAATCCATAGGGTAATGGAGTAACGTTAGGAGATGCAATCCTATGGTGGACGGTGACCAACAATAGTTTCATACGCCATTTGTTCTCTCAGGATCCTGGAGCCCATGTACACCATTGGTTTGGAATCAAGGTTTTCCAACTCCTCTATGTGGACTCTCCGTACTCACTAACCTGGATAAAGCGTCGGACATTCGCTTTTCAACCTCTCAATTTCGTAAGCAACACTCCTATCGCGAGAAGGCAATCATTAGGACTTCCCTGACAGTGGCTGTATACGCGTGGTTACGTGTGAGCATTTAGAGAGGAAGAGCACTCTCCGCACCCTCGGCCTTATCAGGACATTTGGGGGTACTAATATATCCGGACCGAGTACGACCAAACCGCGGGGAAAGTTATGCACTAGTAGGGTTCATTCTACCTTATGACAGTCAAGGATGGTCCTTAATTGTGGGAAATAAAAAAGGTAATAAGGCTTCTTCCGTAAAAAATAATACATATTTACTAATCACTAAGTCTATCGATGTCTTCTCTAAACAGAGCACGATAACCTATGAGATTTGAGCTCATCGTGACCGACTCTGGGTAAATTGCGCGAAATAAACTGTGTCTTTTTCTAATTTCGCGTTTAAGAGCGGGTGAAAAACCAGTAGGTTTTAATTCAACCCAAGGTAAGAATACACGCTTCCGAAATTCATTTTTTAAAATATTTTAGCTAATAAAATTTTCCACCTGAGTAGTTAGCAATACCGCTACCTAATACATTTCTTTGATATATAACCTCAAATATATATTTTGATGTACTGGTCGACATTGAAGTAACGGTGGTCAGAAAGAGGACCCACATGAACCATCACAAGGGCCACTGATGACTCCAAGCTCGACTAGACAGTTGGTAGCTACATACGCCATTGAGATAAAGACCACAATTATGATCGATGAAAGCCATGTCACAGTATTATTATTTTTTTTATAAACAGAAGGATGTAGGTACTAATTAGATTTTTTTATTAAACAATATACTTGAATATGTTTATTTTTTATTACTTAGAGGTTTTTAACTATCTTTCACACGATACCACGCATAGGTTTGGTTTAGTGGACGGATTTCAATTTCATCGGTGTCTGAGTGTCTAACGAAACCGCATCCTCTAATAGCTTGTGTATTAAATGACTTCTAATCATGTTTATTTCCATTTTAAGAATCTCGTACGTAGGTATTTTATTATAATAAAAAAAAACCCAAGACAGATATGGTTTATTTTGATATTCACTAATTTCAAGGACTGAACTAACTGCCGAATATCGTGAGTGCCTATTGATCTTTACGACCTAAAATTGCAAATCATTTAAAAAGGACGTTTTATTCAGTATTTCATCTAAAACTTGCCCATAATCAAACTTAGATGTTAACCACACTAGCACAACAAATTTTTTTTGTACACTTTGATAGTTTTCTTAACATCAACAAGAGCAGCTCTATAATTAACCCTGATTTAGAACCCGGGTAAACGAGGGAACTTTGTCGCGCAGTTAGCGATCACACTTAGTACCAAAAGAACTTGTCTAGAAAAGCGTCAATAACAAAAGTCATTTTAACTACTTAGACTCTGACCAAGCACAATCTGAATACATAGAAGCAAACAAGCAAGTGAAGAAAAGCATTAGAGCCGCCAAGAAGAAATACGTGGAAGAACTAGCAACGACGGCGGAAAAAGCTGCAAGGGAAGGAAATATGAAACAACTTTACGATACAACGAAGAAACTAGCAGGGAAATACAGTAAACCAGAGAGACTGGTCAACGACAAAGAAGGCAAACCAATCACTGAAATTCAACAACAGCGGAACAGATGGGTAGAGTACTTCGAGGAACTCCTGAATAGACCGGCTCCAATGAATCCAGTGGACATCGAAGCAGCACACACAGATCTTCCTATAGATGTCAATCCACCAACGACGGAAGAAATCAGAACGGCCATCAGACAAATCAAGAGCAGGAAAGCAGCAGGACCCGACAATATACCAGCTGAAGCACTGAAGTCAGACATCGAAGCAACTACAAGTATGCTTTACCTTCTATTCAAAAGAATTCGGGAGGAACAAGTGCCGATGGGCTGGAAAGAAGGACACCTCATCAAGAATCCAAAGGAAGGAGATCTGAGCAAATGTGAAAACTACAGAGGCATTACACTACTGTCAATACCAGGGAAAGTCTTCAACAGAGTGTTGCTGAACCCGATGAAAGACACAGTAGACGCTCAACTTCGAGATCAACAAGCTGGATTCCGTAAAGATCGGTCGTGCACAGACCAAATTGCGATACTACGGATCATCGTTGGACAATCAGTTGAGTGAAACTCGTCACTATACATCAACTTCATTGATTACGAAAAGGCGTTTGACAGTGTAGACAGGAGGACGTTATGGAAACTTCTTCGACACTACGGAGTTCCTGAGAAGATTGTCAATATTATCCGGAACTCATATGATGGACTATAGTGCAAGGTTTTGCATGGAGGACAGCTGACAGACGCATTCCAAGTAAGGACCGGAGTCAGACAAGGCTGTCTATTCTCTCCCTTCCTCTTTCTTCTGGTGGTCGACTGGATTATGAAGACCTCGACATCTGAGGGAAGACACGGCATACAATGGACAGCTCAGAACCAATTAGACGATTTGGACTTCGCAGATGACCTAACCCTCCTATCACGTACACACGAATAAATGCAGATAAAGACAGCCAGTGTAGCAGCAGTCTCTGCATCAGTAGGCTTCAACATACACAAGGGGAAAACCAAGATCCTCAAATACAACACGGAGAACAGCAATCCAATCACTCTTGATGGCGAAACTCTGGAAGATGTAGAATCCTTCACATACCTGGGAAGCATAATCGATGAACAAGAAGAATCAGATGCAGACGTGAGTGCAAGGATTGGCAAAGCAAGGGCCACATTCCTACAACTGAAGAACATATGGAACTCAAAACAACTTTCAACCAATATCAAAGTGAGAATCGTCAATGCGAATGTCTAGGCAGTTTTACTAAACGGAGCTGAAACTTGGAGAACTACAACAACCACCATCAAGAAGGTACAAGTATTTATAAATAGCTGTCTTCGCAAGATACTCAAGATTCATTGGCCGGATACCACCAGCAACAGCCTTTTGTGGCAGAGAACAAACCAGCTTCCAGATGAAGAGGAAATTAGGAAAAGACGATGGAAATGGGTAGGACATACATTACGCAAATCGTCAAACTGCATTACGAGATAAGCCCTAACTTGGAATCCTGAAGGGAGGCGGAAAAGAGGGAGGCCAAAGAACACATTACGTCGGGAAATAAAAGCAGATATAGAAAGGATGAATAGCAACTGGAAGGAGCTGGAAAGGATTGCCCAGGACAGGGTTGGATGGCGAATGCTGGTGAGTGGCCTATGCTCCTTCACGAGGAGTAACAGGCGTAAGTAAGACTCTGACCTGGGAGTTCAAGGGTATACATGTAGAAGAGTTATGAAGCCTTATGGTAAAACGCAAGACTCCACAAGTCACGGGACCCATACCACTTCTGGCAACAAGAACAACTATTAATACATCTACATGGAATGTTCGCACAACGTGGGAGGGATAGAGAGGATTATCCAAGCAACAACAGAAAGGAGAAGATACAACATGACCGTGCCTGGAATAAGTGAAACCCATTGGACACAATCTACACAGAAAAGACTAACTTCAGGAGAGCTGTTGTAGTATCCTGGTCATGAAGAAAGTACCCCTCTACACGCACAAGGAGTTGTACTGATCCTGTCCAAAGAAGCACGAAAATCGCTGATAGGATGAGAAAGTCACGACTCCAGAATAATTAAAGCATCCTTCAAATCAAGAAGGAAAGGATTACGATGAACATCATCCAATGTTACGCACCCACCAACAATGGCAGTGAGGAGGATGAAGACCAGTTTTGTGATAGGTTGCAGTCCGTCGCACAAAACAGCTCAGGAAAAGACCTGAACATCCTGATGGAGCGACATGGATTATGAGAGAAAACGGAGATTATGAGAGGTTAGCTTCCAACCACATCGTCATAAATAGAAGCACTTTCTTCAATAAATCCGCATCGGAATCACTACAGAGAGCCAGACTGATCACACCTAGGGGAGTAAAGTATTCAGAAAGTCCATCCAGTACGTGAGAACAGACGGAGGATATAATATAACTTCCCATAACTATCTAGTGGTGGCCAATACAGAGATGAGGCTGAACAGGGATTGAACACTTGGACACCAGCACAACAAAAGTTTAATATAACCTTCCTTCGAGACTAACTAGCTCACCGAGTTCACGATAGCTCTCAGAAACAGCTTTCCAGTCTTACAAAACCTAGTAGAGAAAGAGGAAACCACTATGGATCAACTATACATCAACTTTCTTGACTACGAGAAAGCATTTGACAGCGTGGATAAGAGAACCTTCTTCGACACTATGCTGTACCTGAGAACATCGTCAACAGCACACGGAATTCATACGACGGCTACACTTCAAAGTGGTGCATGGAGGAGAGTTGACAGGTACATTCCAGGTGAAGACCGGAGTTGGAAAAAGCTACTTACTCTCTTCGTTTGTCTTTCTTCTGGTGGTTGAGTGGATTATGAAGACCTTTATATCTGAGGGGAAGTGCAGAATAAAATGGACAGGTTGGATGAAACTTGACAATTGGGACTTTGCAAACGACCTAGCTCTCCTATCCCATACACACGAACATTTGCATGTGAAGGCAGATAGTTTAGCACCAGCCTTTTCATCAGTAGGTCTTAACATACACACTTACCTACTTACGCTTGTTACTCCCAATGGAGCATAGGCCGCGGACTAGCATTCTCCATCCCACTCTGTCCTCGGACTTCTTTTCTAGTTCCATCTTCTGAATGATGGCTTTCGTAGTTCTCCAGGTTTCCGTACCATACAGTAGAACTGTCTTGACATTTGTATTGAAAGTCCTGACCTTGGTGTTGGTTGACAGTTGTTTTGAGTTCCAGATGTTCTTCAGTTGTAAATATACTGTTCTTCCTTTGCCGATCCGTGCCTTCACATCTGCATCAGATCCACCGTGTTTATCAATGATGTTGCTCAGATATGCAAAGCTTTTTACACCTCCCAAAGCTTCTCCGTCAAGTGTGGTCGATTGGTGTATACTGTGTTGTATGGGGGAATCTTGCTTTTCCCTTTGTGTATATTGAGACCTACTGCTGCTACACTGGTCGTCTTCTCCTGCATTTGTTGTTGCGTTTGCGATAGAAGAGCCAGATAATCCGCAAAGTCTAGATCGTCCAACTGCATCCTAGATGTCCACTGTATCCCGTGCTTCCCTTCAGATGTTGACATCTTCATGATCTAGTCGATCACTAGGAGAAAGAGAATGGGTGAGAGTAAGCAACCTTGCCTGATACTGGACTTTACTTCGAACGAGTCTGCAGTTTAACCCATCATAGGAATTCCGTATGATGTTAATTATCTCAGGCACGCCGAACCAGCTCTCCATGGTTTTGTCCTGTTCACGCTATCAAATGCTTTCTCGTAGTGAACGAATTTGATGTGGAGTGATGAAACCTATTCAGTTGATTGTTCCACAATAATATGTAGTGTTGCCATCTGGTTTGTACACGATCGATCCTTACGGAATCCAGCCTGATGGTTTCGAAGTTGGGTGTCTACGGATTCATCCATTCTGTTTATCGACACCCTGTTGAGGACTTTCCCAGATATTAATACGGGCATCAGCCTTGTGACTTCCGAAGAAACTTGGCTTTCATCATAAGGCGTCATAACTCTACTAAATGAAGACATTTTAGCTCCCAGGGCAGAGTTCAAGTGGTTTGAATTATTTTTTGGCTAGCGTTTTTAGCGAGTTAGTTTTTTTACGGGAAAGGGTAGCAAACACCATAACCAAGCCTTCTCCTTCATTCGGGCTTGGGATCGGCAGTGGCCTCAGAGTAGCTCCAGGCGAAGTATAGTGCGCCACAAAGAGCGGACAGGGACAAACGAGGGAAAATAAATACTGGAAGTGAGTAGAGCCCTTTGACAGACCAGCACCACTACGCTCACCAGAGTTCAAGGTAGATAATTTTATATATATAACAACTGATAAATAACAGTAGAGAGGTAATCGAGTTAAGTACCTGAGTTAATAGCACATTGGAGCTATCATTGCAACAGGTCAACTTATGCTGAAAATAAATAGGCAAGTAGTGACACATTGCAAAATACTGAATCAATACATAGAAATACCTCAAGAAGTTGAGACAAAATGCTCGCTAATGTGACACATGATTGAACAATCAAGTGGTAACACACATTTTTAGAGTATTCCACAAATTTCAATGTCCAAATCACGAGCTAGTGTAAATCATTTAACCTCTCTGCACATACACATTAATTACTCAGATATATCCATTCAACAGATGGCTACTTATTTACTAAGGAGAGGTCAGTTCATAAAATTATCAGCACATAATGTTGTGTTCTAATGAAGTGTTGAAAGCATAGTTAAGAACAAAAATTTAGTGGAGAAGAATGGGGTATTCAAATGGCAGTCAACCGTCGCCATTTATTTGTACCTCAATAAGAAAACTAGAACTTCAATTAATTGTATTGCACTCAGTGACAGAAAAGATACAAACTAAATGTAACTTGAAAGTTAAAAACGTTCTCGAATTCTATTCGCCAACTGATTTTTCCTGACTATCCTTAAGGCTTCGATATTTGCTTCAAAGTATTAAATGGCTAATATAAGTATTCCTCATTTTTAAGTTCTACGAAACATCAATAATCTGGTTACTGGTCTCAAAAACAAATTTGTCGATTTTGCTCTGTGTACGTATTTGTGTCGATGGAATCCGTAGATCTGCTCTCTTTCTTGGGCAGTTAACTGTCAGGGGAGCCGAAGACTCTGGAAGAAATCAGCATTTAGGATCAATCTGGAGTGCGTCTACGTCATGAGTTGCATAAAACGGCATATTGGATACGCTTCCGTTCCTCAGACTAGTTGATGAACTCTCGATGAACCTCAGTTCCTCCGTTCTTATCTACGCAATCATGCTCTTACGGAGTTGAGGACTCGCAAATTAAATGGTGAAAATAACCTTACCAACAAGGGTTTTCGGGCAGTCAGGTCTTGGAAGCCAATGCTTCTGAGGCCTATATGGGTAGAACGATGGATTGCCAAAACACCTTAAGTGTGTGCTACACGAACGCTCGTAGACTTAGAAATAAAACGTCCGACCTAAGTCTGATGATTGAAGAATTATATCCCGATATAATCGTTGTTACAGAAACTTGGTTCACCGTAGATATAGACTGTTGTCAGAATGGGTTTTGTGGAGAGTTTTAGAAAGTTCACAGGTTGAAATCATGGGTCAGTTGAAGCTAGACCACCATGGAAAACCTGGAGGCAGTGGACGGTCGTTTCATCCTAGTACGGGACTCCTCAGCAGTGCGCATCTACGATCCCGCACCCCGCGGGATTCGAACCCAGGACCTACTGGCTTCGCGCGCGGGCACTCAACCACTGGACCAGTGGAATTCAACCAGGTCTGTTGTGAGATAACAGCTCAATGAAGGCAATGGTGTATGGTGGCGCAACTTCGTGGATTGGTTGAAGTTAGACATTAACACCGTTGGATGCCATCTCAGTGGTCTAGTGGTTAAGTGCTCTCCCGCAAAGCCAGTAGGTCCTGGATTCGAATCCCGCGGGGTGCGGGATCGTAGATGCGCACTGCTGAGGAGTCCCGTACTAGGACGAAACGGCCGTCCACTGCCTCCAGGTTTTCCATGGTGGTCTAGCTTCAACTGACCCATGATTTCAACCTGTGAAATATAGACTGTTCTCCCATCATTGAAGGCTATATCTGTATTAGAAGTGACAGAGTTTCAGGTCGCAAAGGGGGAGGTATAATATTACACGTATACAATCAACCCTATCGGGGGCTCATGTCAGTGGCACATGTGAGGTTGCATGTTGTAAGATTAAATCTAGAAATGGGTTAGTGACTATAGGGGGAATATACCGTAGTCCGTCTTGTCTTGCTGACGACTTTATCCTAAGACACATCTGTTCTTGGAGTATGGCAGAATGTTGTCTCATCATTGGGGACTTCAACGCACCGCATATCAACTGGATAGAGCTTACAGCTCCAGGTAGTGGTTTCGATAGCGACCTTTTATCTACCGTTATTCAGTGTGCACTTGTACAATGTATCACAAAACCGACACATATTGATTTGCAACATGATCCGTCACTGCTGGACCTCGCCCTCACCCACCACTGTGAGGATGTCTTTGATATCCAGCACCTTCCTCCACTAGTGAACAGTGATCACGTTGTAATTCACTTTAAGTTTAGGACACATGGTATACAATTCGTATCTGCTCCACCCCGTCCCAATATCTGGCGAGCTAATATTCCGGAAATCAGAAACTGTGCTATCTCGACTGATTGGTCGGTCGACGCGGATGGATTGATCGAAGATGAATGGAATAAGTTTAAGGCTACATTCGAGTCCGTAACGTCGCCGTTTATCCCATGGTCAGCACGTAAGCTATCACATTGCCCTCCATGGATTAATAAGGAAACCCGGAAGCTGTTAAAGCGTAGGAAACATTTCTGGGACTTATTCTTGTTGACAGGTCATGCACCATTTAAGCGTGAGTACCAAAAATACCGTAATATCTGTAAGAAAACCATAGCCAAATCCCGTACCACTTACGAACGACAGTTAGTATATGATAGCCGTACTTGTCCGAAACGATTGTTTTCGTATGTTAAACGGCAAATGAAACGTAGTGATGGTATTCCCCCGTTACTGTTACACGAAAATTCAGAATTACTAGCTGAATCAGATCGAGCAAAAGCTGAGACTTTTTCAGACTATTTTAGCGAAGTCTTCTCTACGTTTATTGTAACAAATACTTGTCCCACTCACACCGAGATACCAACCATTGAATCTGTACAGGTGACTGAGGAAACTGTCCTTCCGTTGATAACTAACCTCAAACCTGGTAAGATACCGGGCCCTGACGGGTTACATCCACGGTTGCTGTCATCTCTTGCGGACATTATTTCAAAACCGCTTGCGACACTCTTCAACATGTCCCTCTCACTCGCTCAACTCCCTAGAGATTGGAAGGACGCTATAGTTAGTCCTATATTTAAGGACGGTCAGCGACAGATAGTATCTAACTACCGGCCTGTCAGTCTAACTAGCATAGTCGTTAAGTTACTCGAAAAGATAATTCGGGTTAGGTTGCTAAGCCACATAGATTTACACAATCTGTTAGCTCCTGAGCAACACGGATTTCGTAACAAGCGTTCATGCTTGACTAACTTGCTTATTGCGAGGGAGGATTGGACAGCAGCCCTAGATCACGGTCTGTCTGTCGACGTGATATTCATAGATTTTAGCAAAGCGTTTGACAAGGTTTCACACGTAGGTCTTATGCAGAAGCTCACGAGCTTCGGAATAATAGGTACTGTACATGAGTGGATAGGAAATTTCTTATGTGACCGCAGACAGAGAGTTAGGGTCAATGGAACGCTATCCGATTGGAAGCCGGTCAAAAGTGGTGTACCCCAAGGCACCATCTTAGGCCCTCTGCTCTTCCTTCTCTACGTTAATGAGTTACCGCTGTTACTTAGGTCGTCGACATTATTGTTTGCGGATGATGTAAAAATCTGGAGAACAATAAAAAGTGCGGCTGATCATGTGGATCTTCAAGCTGACTTAGACGATTTAGTTAGATGGGCTCGAGAGTGGGGCTTAGAAATCAATGCTAGGAAGAGTGTACTAATGCACATCGGTCACGGTAATAGTTACCGTTACACTATTGAGGGTAAACCTCTTCCATGCGTTCAAGAGCATAAAGACTTAGGAGTAATATTAAGTCATGATTTAAAAACAACTACGCATTGCAAAGCAGCCGCTGTCAAAGGTTTTCGTGCGTTATGGTCACTTCGCCGAGCGTTCAAATCTTTTGACGAGGAAACGTTTCGAATTTTATATCCAAGCAGCTAGCCCGTGTCAGGTAAAGGATACTAACTCCCTTGAGCGTGTCTAGCGTGTGGGAATGAAATTAGTGAAGGGTCTTTCTAGACTCCCTTACGATGAGCGTTTAAAACGCCTAAACCTTTCCCCCTTGTCGTATCGTAGGACATGAGGTGACCTTATACTGGCATTTCGTATCTTTAATTATGATTTGGGTGTTAATATGTCTTATCTTTTTGCTCCCTCCAGCACTAATAATCTCCGAGGTCATAGCAAGAAGATTCATAAACCACGATCTAATAAACTTAAAGTGGGATCCCGTTTTTCTCATCGAGTAGTCAATCATTGGAACGCCTTACCCGAACAAGTGGTATCAGCCCAATCAGTGAATACTTTCAAGGAAAAGCTGGACCTTCACTGGAAAGCAATGTGTCAGGATTAATACAGGTTCACCAACCTACTATCCTTATTACTGAAGACTGTACATTGAAAGTTACTTGGTAATCTTTTTATTGACATTTCAATGATGAGGATTCTAGGATGACGCTACTTGACTAGTTGGGCTTGATTTGTATAAATGAGTGGACATTCTGTATTTCACCAATATGAAGGTCTTTCTAGAGGGGTTAGTTTTTGTTATCTTGCATATTTCATGCATAATTATAGGATCTTAATTCCGGATTAGTAGTTCTTACGATTGATAAATTACTTGATCATCCTTGTCATTTTGTGGTCAATTTTCATGTTTGAGTCTGCCGAAATATGCAACCTTATTCATTCATTTCCTTTGGTCAACTAACTTCCTCTTTCTCTTAAAAATTGGTCTGGTTTTGTCTCATTACTTTCCAACCATTTATACCACAGAAATGTTTATAAGTTGTCTTTTATCTTTAAAAGACTGTACTTATAATCCTCTCACCACAGTTGCTCTTTCAGCAATTATTCCTAAACCTAAGATTTTGACTTTAGTTTGCTCATCTTAGTAGTCAAGTATAAATATGTGTACCAGCTGTTCAGACTAAAATATATAGTCAAACGGATGATTGGATAGTGAAAACTAAAGTGGTTTGATCAACAAGTCACTTCTATAATTCCGACTTGTAAGGAATCGTTTCATAACTCCACCTTTAGTGAGGTAGTTTAGACAGCTCATAGCGGTAGTAAGTTCCGAAAAGTGTAGAGGCAGCTAAGTTGACACGTTTCATCAGTTTAGGAAGTCATTAACCGTTGGTCTGACCCATGTTAATAGATGCAAACTACCTAATTCAAGTCCGTATGATAATTGTGATCAGTGGCTGAAAACCATAATTAAAATGGCTCAGAATCGTTCACAATGGCGCAGATTTATTAACTATCTATCTCCGTAGTCTTGAATTCCACCATTCCTTCATGCGTACATTTGCTTTCCATCTTTTAAAAACAGTATCACTATTCAGTATTCCTCACTGTTATTGTACATGGATTAAATTAATTTACTATAAACTTCGACTTCAATACAGGGTACGAAACTGCTTGTATCCTTCTCGTTTTTGTCGCGCTAATTAGAGATAAGTCTGGTTTTATGTAGAAACCTGTGTTAGTCGTAACCCCAGTTGTTATATATCGGTTAAAATGATGAGGATTCACAGACTGAGTGACTATCACTAAACACATTCACAGTAAAATTCCACGCAAAGTTCACAAAGTAATAAAAAAAGTGTTGAAAGTGTACATTGCGTTTACCTGAAACGATATCGGTTTCCATCCTCATAGGTTGTGTTTCGGGATTGCATATCCATAGTTAATCGCTACCAGAATGTTTCAATCTCTTTTGTTCAGTCTTAACGTATGTACATTAGTTAAAATTGCCATAACCCATTAGCATAGAGATAAAATTGCTAGGCCAAATCGCAGAATAGTAGATGTAGTAACATTAACAGTATGAATAGGAAAGACTAGGCATCGAAGATACGATTCAGGAAAAAATATAAATTACTGAAATAAAAACAAACATTCGAAACAAGCACATAGTCTTGGATTTATTTGATTGTCAAGACTGGGACGATTCCAAGATTCTGAGGATGTTTGTTCACATACTAGAACGAGGAAAATTAGACAAAGTTAACTCTCATTTCAAAGAAAATTCTTATCCTGTTAGATGTAAAGGATGTTATTAGATATGTAAAATAAAAATCACTAGGTTCTGTAGTTGACGATGGTTAATGGCTGAATTTTAACCTGTGAGTCACGGGTTTAATGAGATTTACGGAGATAATTATTACATTTAACACACACGCACAGTAAACACGGTCAGTAAAGTAATATATGGACGCCAACATAATCATTGAGCAATAACCCAGTTTGATTTTAACTATTTATTCGAAGCATATAAATTTTGGTGCAAAATTGCACGAAAAAATGGGCCACACGAATGAAGTTTTAGTATTGTAAAGAACTAAAAGAGAGAAGGGTAGTAAAGCCAATTAACAAATCAACTAGAATAGCATTTATTGATAAAGTTCAGTTTAAAAACGTTCAAAAAGTTCCCTTAATTAACTCGTTTTTATGAAGAGCATAACTGAAAATTACAGCTGAATTGGTACTGGCTTATTTTCTGAGCCGAACCGAATGACGTCATAAACCACTGAATTGTAAAATCTCTAGGACCACAGCAAAAGTAACGGATTGACAGATACAAAACATACACCGCTTTCTTTCAGACTATATTACCATGTTATAAAATGCTGTTGTAAAAATGAGATAGATCCTTCATTTTATTGTTTTTTGTAAATGATGAATTGCATTACAATATCTACTACTACATTTGCGTGTAACAAATATTATTCATATTCTATTCCGAAATATATTCTGATGAACTCTAAGACCGCTTAGTCAGCATTTACCAACTCAATATTTTGGGAAGATATTTCAATTGATCAACGAGTGTAAGCAAGACAAAGTAATAATGAGTTTGTAGGTTTCATACCAAGGTTTGACTTCATAATTTCACATAAATTGAGCGTTGGGTAGATTGTTATTAATAAAAATGATATATTTGTAATATCCAGATGAGTAGAAAATTACTCATTGGGGTATTAAAAATTATTTTTATTAAAAGCAATAATGAATTTTAATTTGGTGGAACATAAATGGAATATAATAAAAATGGGTCTCTCTAATCAATTAATGTTATAGAATAGATATCTAGCTTATATAATGTTGATATAGTTAGGAAGAATTGAATTAAATGAATTTAATTTGTTCTTACAGAACCTATTGAAAGCTTTAATGAACCCAAACATACTTTCGATTAAATAAAACGATTAATTGATGACTGTGCTTAATACACACATAAAAAACAAGAACTAAAATAAGCCACGTTTCGCAGCCGTAAAGTAAACCAGAATAAACTGCTGCGCAATATACTCGTCCCTTAATCGATAGACGGATATTTTCCTTCGCCATAGGTGACGTAAATTGACAAAGGCTAAACGACCTCTCTGAATCCGTATAGAGATTTCGTCAGACACCAATCCATTAGGGCTGATCAGACTTCCAAGATAAGTGAAGTTGTCGACGCGTTCGACTACTTCACTCCTTATTCTTAGTTCAGGTGTTGATACAGTCCAGTTTTGAAGCAATAATTAGCATTTAGAGGAATAAAACGCATCACAAACATCCTGGCATTGTTGTTTAGTGCTACCAACCAACGAATCGTTGAGCAGCAAACTCGCCCTTTGGTTAAAAGATGAATATCTCGCTTACGCCACAGGTGACGCAAGTTGGCGAAAGTCGATGAAGCTTTTCGAATCAGTGCAGAGATTTCGTCAGACCTCAGGACAAACGAAACACCCAAGATAAGTTGAGCAGTCGATGCGTTCAACTACTACACTCACCATCATTAGTTCAGCCCATGACGCAAGCCAATTCTGAAGTGACATTCTACATTTGCAGGGAGAGAACCGCATCCCAAACATGTTTAGATTGTTACTTAGGGTGGTTGGAGGATTGTATTTTGTCTGTGTCTTCACCAAACAGAACAATATCACCTGGGTATTGTAAGTCAACAAGTGAATCTCCTCGCGATTAACGGAGTCGAATGCTGTCTTACGGTCAAGGGATACACCTACAGTTGGACGTCGAAAAGTATGTCTATGTTTCAGAATCTGCCGGGTGGTGAATACTTGGTGTATACATTAAAGTCCAGATCTGAAACCATACCAGTTTACTCGGGTTCGCTCCTCACGAGCTCTAGCTAGACGTCGAGATATCATTTTAGACACTATAAGCTAAATTGATTCCTCTGTGATTGTCGTATGAGGATTTTTGACGATCAACGATCGAGGTAATAAGGTAAACCATAAGGTTAGGGAAAAATACTGGATCTCAGCAGCATCTACCGCACTGTCAGATGTTCGAAAACCCATCCCATCAGGCTCTGAACATGATGAAGGGCCAAGTTTTCCGAAGCACAGGCTGATAAGAAGCCTACGCAATGATCACGAACAGTGGTGGGCTGCGAAAACAAGAGAGGTGGAGAGTCCTGTAGCAACAACTTACATTTAGAGGCGGAGAAATGCATCCCAAACATCCTGGCATTGTTGTTTACTGCTGCCAAAAGACTCTGCATTTTATCAGCGTCTTCACCAAACAGAACTATATCATCTGTGTATTTCAAGTCGATAAGTGGACCTCTTAAAAGGAGATCAATGCCCGAGAATTCAGTCGACGAGAACATTATTTCCATCAGTAGGTTTATGATGAAGTTGGACAAAAATGGAGATAGTGGACAGTCTTGATGGATACCACTTGAGATTGCAAAATCAGATGACAGTTCACTATAAGCTCTCAATCGATTAGTAGTGTTCGGATAAAGAGTCTTCACAAGGTTTATGCACTTCTGAGGTGCGCCTTTCAATGACAGACATTGCCACAGAACCTCTCGGTCAACAGAGTCAAATGCTGCTTTTAAGTCAAGGAAGACCATCATTGTCAGATGCCGATAAGCATGCCTGTGTTCTAAAATCTAACGAATAGTGAATATGTGGTCGATGCAGCCACGACCAGGTCTGAAGCCAGCCTGATTTTCTCGTGTTTGTAGTTCATCAGTCTTTGTTAAGCATTCAATAATTATTGAGACTAGTACTTTAGATGATATATTAGTCAAACTAATCGCTCTATGATTATCACAGAATGATTTTGATCCTTTCTTATATATTGGGACAATCAGTGATTGCGACCAGTGAAATGGGATTACGTCGAGTTCCCAGACTTTAGTCAAACTAATCTCTAAGACTGGACCACAATACTTAAAGACCTCTGGAGCCAATTCAATGAGGAGCAATCAAATGCGTGCTCGTATTAGAGCATGATCGGAGTCCAAGCAGGTATTCCAGAACGAGCGAAAATCTTCGATCGACACATCATACACCAATGGTACAAGATTCTAGGGTTTTAGCCAAAGAGGCCTGTGGCCGACTTGATACAGGGTGCATACGTTGAAGGCTCCAATGTGTAGTTTGGAGCGAGGTTTCAGTAGACCTGGGACAGTGTTTTGCGCACTAGAATCGTTGGCCATGGTGACACTTGAGGAGGAAGTAAGAGAGGAAGATTAGAGTTGAAAGTCGAGGTAGGAGGAATAATAGGAATTGAAGAGAGTGATTGATCATGAATACAGTGATCTTGAGTACTGTTAGAGGTATGAGGATAGTTATCACTTCCCAGTTGCCCACACCGTGGAAGGGTTCTTCTGGAGGTACCTGAAAAGGAAATAGGGTTAGAGGTGGTCTTAGTGAACTGAGAGCGTGACCACAGTGCCCAAGGGACAACTGCTTGAGGTTGGTCACACACGACATTTTTGTGGGTAATTTTCGTGTTAGCTCCGTACTTGTTGAGACCTTACCGCCGGAGAAGGAAATCCGTGGGATAAGGCGAGGTGTGCATTTTTAGGGTCGATCTTTTCTAACCTCACCCGTCTTTTTTTATTTTAACACATAGATTTCGGTACAAGGAGGCACCAAATACATATGCACAACACAAATCTCATTTGATATGTGTGAGGGCTGTGATACTACCCGGGTGCCCAAACCGAAGCAGGATATTTTCTTAGGGGGCCCCACATCCCGAGCCTTCGACCTAAAAGTCTGATCCACAAGGCAGTGGAGCAACGTAAGGAGATGCAGTCCCATGGTAGCCGGTGACCAACGATTGGTTCATACACCATTTGCTCCTTCAGGATACTGGAGCCCATGTGGACCATTGGTTTGGAATCAGGGTTTTCCAGCTTCCCTATGTGGACTCTCCATGTCCACCAACCCGGTTAATGCGCCGGACATTCGCTTTTCGTCCTCTCAATTTCGTAAACAACACCACAAGAAGGCGGTGGGTAGGACTTCTCTAGCAGAGGCTATGTACGTGTGGCCATGTGAGAGCATTTCGAGAGGGAGAGCGGACCCTCCCCACTCTCGGCCTTACCAGGGCATTTGGGGGCAACATCACTGTTATGCGGGTTGTCTAAGGGGAACGCCTTACTGCTGTCACACCTCTGTACAGTCAACAGTACGATTTCGCCCTCAGACCTTGGGTTTGTTGCTTTTAGTCTTACTGCCCCCTAACCGACCTGTCTGGCATGGTAGGACCTTGAGAAACGATTGTTCCAGCCAGTATGGCTCGACTGGTTTATTAAGATGAGCAAGCCCGATCACCACATCAAGATAGCAACAACGGTCATGTTATTATGTTAACACAGATAACACAAGAAACAAAATGTGTTTATAAAACATTCCATTGAACTTGATGGTTTCATAAAGTCTTTTTCGTCATTTGTTTGCTCATTCTGAGTATAAACATACGATTTAAACATAAAGCTTATCACTTAAGTAAATTGGCCCGATTTCCCTTAATTTCGGAACATTAAATCAAAGGGCAATATATTTTACGGTTGGAGTCGATGAACACAAAGTCCTAGAATTTAACTTCAATCATGTTAGGACTCATTAGCAAAATGTCGGAAACCTTGAATGTGGATGACCTCTACCAGTGATTAGTCAAATTATGTCGGTTATTATTCAGTAAGTCATTAGTTTAATCGCGGAGTATTGTACAAGTTATCATATTTATTTGTCTCTAACGAGCCGTCTTACACTTTATTAACCGAGCTGCTCAGACAGTTCCATAAACCCATGGATTCAAACTCATTCTAAATAAATATTTTTTTAACCACCAAACAACTGATGTTACTCAATTCTCCAATCTGCGTGAGACTGAAAATTAAAATAAATTTTTGTATGGATTTTATACTAGTTACCTAAATTCGAAGTTCCCAGTTTTTCTCTTCAACTACGTAATCTGCATTTTCTTCATTATTGTTTAGCTCTTAAGTCCAGTTAATTATGTCAGATGTCAACAAATCAATCAACACCTAGTCAATAGACTAGGTTTAGAAACTAGCCTTCAGGTAAGTGTTAATTTTTTCTTTATACTTTTTTAGGGTCATCATGGTTGTGTTAACTGCTTAGAATGGAACGAGCGTGGTTCCTATCTTGCTAGTGGTTCAGATGATCGGCGTCTAATTATCTGGGATCCATTTGAACGTAAATCTCTTTTAACAATGAACACTGGTCATATGGCGAATATATTTTCTGTTAAGTTCTTATCTAGTCTAAATGTGAGTACTATCGTTTTTGTTGTTATTGGAAACTCATAATCATCTTGTTTTTCTAGGAGAATCTGATTGTAACGGGTGCAGCTGATAACAAAATTCGTGTACATGACATTAAAGCACTAGAAACTCGGCATGTATTTTCTTGTCATTCAGGTCGCGTTAAACGATTGGCGAATACTCCGTCCGAACCATTCTTATTTTGGTCAGCCTCAGAAGATGGGACCTGTAGACAGTTTGACCTACGAGATCCTGATCAGGTATGTTTTTCGTTTCTTAAAATTGATTCTAAAAAGATATAAAATTAAGTAAAATTTGAATACAGATTCAATTAGCCTATGCTTAATTGATGTCATCTATATATTCAAACGTCACAGTAAGAATGAAAAATAACCATAATTTCAATAAAAATTTTCCTTTACACTTAAGAGATACATGGATAAGTAAATAGATTTACTTATCAAACAGAGATATCCCAGTTTTATCGACGGTCGAGGATTTTGTGCAAAGATCTGTATGTTTCGATATACCGCTGATATAAAAATTCTTTAACTTATGTTATGAAAGTCAAGTTGACAATATTGAGCGTAAGTGCATGATTTTAGATTAGAAAAGCAGATTAGTTAATCACCTTATATATCTGCACATAAAAGTGAGTAAACTGTATTTTACCACAAAATGCAAGATGCATTTACAAATGATATAGGAGCTAGGTAGAGAATGCGAGTATTCTAAGCAACTGATCGCTGACATACGTCACATAGAATCATGTTTTTATTGATTCTAAACTGTCTTGTCCATTATTTTAACTTTCTTCGGTTCTGTTCTGGGTTTTCACGATATTTTGATACCATCAAGTTTATTAATTCAGTTTTGCTCCTCTGATTTTGTATTGGTGTGGAAATCGTGTATACAAGTAACCAACTGAATATCAATTCTCTACCATTTATTGTCCAATCTAAACAAGTTATGAACATTTGGTTACTTGAAATATCACACCTAATTTTTAATGAAGCAACATTGATGAGAACACATTATAGCACTAAATAAATAATATATTTGTAATATCCCGATGAGTAGAAAAATTAGATTTTCTGACGTTTCATGACTTAGTGTAAGTCACTTCTTCAGAGAGTAAATAACCAAATCAAAATTAATCCAAGTTTAAATAGTACAACGGTGCATCAAGTCAAACCTTGGTAATGATACCCACATTATAGCACTGTTTCATAAAACATTTGCGTACAATCTCATAGGTATATGAAATATCGTTCTTTTTATCAGTTACTTTCGATGAAGCATCAGTGTAGCCCTGAGCCTAGCATATAAAACTGTACTTGTATCTGTATTTGTTTTGGTATTTAATGAAGTACAGTTTTATAGAAAGGAAATGAAACTACACCTGCTGTGTAAAAGACAGGTGATACTACTTAGATGTTCATAAGGACTAAAGTAAATTGGTGTTCTAACTTGACTAAATGGTTGAAATTCGTTTTTAAATCGTCCATCTGGTACTCGTGCTATTACTAATTTAAATAACAAAGAAGTTGATTTATCTAAAAGTATAACTTATCTGTGAAATATCATATTTAAAATAATCTTTCATGTTTTTATCTTTTACAAGACTTCTGTAAATAAACCATGTAATGTATTAGTCAATTTACGGTTTCAAGATAACGTTTTTGCCGAAGCTAAGTGTATTGCAGTAAATCCATTAAAGTCTGAATTGGTTGCTATCGGTGGGAATGAACCATTTGTACGAATGTTTGATCGGCGTAAATTAACACTTTCTACGTATGATAGTGTTACACCACAGGAGAGAATGTAAGCTTTTAATGTAAATTAACAAATATATTATTAGCATATTAATTAATAAGGTACCTACTGTGCCTTTCCGTGATTGAGTTTAAATTTTCTCTCAACCATAATTTGTTGCTAATAGCATATCTTTTCCCGAGTTATTTTATAAGATCTCGAACCGTGTGCAGAGCTTTAAATTTACCGTCATTAAGTTCTCAACCTCACCAGTTCAGCTTCGAGGTCCCTCCACAATCCAATAATAACACAATCTTTTGAATGTAATTCCTATGATGGATTAAACTGCAAAATCGTGCATGGAGGACAGTTGACAAACTCGATCGAAGAAAAGACCGGTGTCAAGAAAGGTTGCTTACTCTCACCCTTTCTTTTTCTCCTGGTGATCGACTCGATCATGAAGATTATTATTTATTTATTTATTTTAAGACAAATATTGGTACAAGAATACGCCAAATATATATGCGCCACACAAAACAATGAGAATTTAAGGGCAAGAAGAAAAAAAAGAGATTGATGTAAGGTGGTGCAATAATAATGATGGTAAAAATGGCGGAACAGACAGGTACAATCAGAAGAAATCTTTCAGGTAAGGGAGACACAACCACTTTTTATGAAGAAAGTAAAAGAGTTACAGCAGGATCGCCACTGGCTTCTATTCTGAGCCATATCTGATAACGTCTCTAGCCACTGTGTAGCACCATCTCTCGGACCCCAACCAGGGAGTCGTGAAGGACCAACACAAGCCAGTCCTTTGCAGCTTTCTTTCATGCCACGACACCATGTCATGCACTGACCACCTCTCCGCTTCTTCCAACCAGTCCCAGAGTCGGCAAATAATGCACGACGTGGAATTCTCTGGGACGACATTCGGAGAACATGTCCAAGCCACCGAAGTCGGTGTTTCAAGATGGTGACACCAATTGATTATCATCTCTGTGCCCGAACACACGATGCCGAACCTCTGCATTACTGACATGGTGTTGCCACTGAATGTCAGCAATCCTTCGGAGACAGCGATGATCGAACACAGAGAGTCGTCTAACGTCCTCAACTCGGAGAGGCCAGGTTTCACAAGCATAGAGCAAAACTGCTCTCACCGACGCGTTGTAGATCCGACCTTTTACAGCCAGACTAACATCACGAAGGCGCCAAAGGTGGCCCAGATTGGCATAAGCCGCTCTGGCTTTCACTATTCGTGCATTGATCTCATCACTCACACCCCACCAGCACTTATGCAGCTACCCAGATACACGAACTTCTCGACTACGTCTATCTGCTCACCATCCAGGGTGAGTACAGGATTAGAATCCTGCCAGTCTTGTAGAAGTACTTTGCACTTCGAAGGTGCAAAGCACATACCATACCTACGGACACTGATTGCCAACTGATTAAGTGCGGATTGCATGCCTTGGGCATTATCGCACAGTAAGACAATATCGTCCGCATACTCAAGGTCGAGAAGTCTTTCTCCAGGCAACAGATCCACACCACCATTACTTACATTCATCAGAGCTGTTTCCAGAATGTCATCGATGGCAAAGTTGAAGAGGAATGGTGAGATTGGGCAACCCTGCCTAACCCCACTGCTCGAATGGAACAATGGAGAGAGGTGGTTGTATGCCCTCACTCTGCCTGAGGTGTTTTATATAGGGCTTTTAGGATGTTAATAAACTTCTCAGGCACACCCTTCTTCAATAGACAATCCCAGAGAACAGTCCTGTCCAACGAATCGAAGGCAGCCCTGATGTCAAGAAACACTACGATTGTTGGCCTTTGATAAGTATGGCGGTGTTCTAACATTTGGCGGAGGGTGAAGATATGATCAATACATCCTCGACCAGAACGAAACCCAGCCTGCTCCTCGCGAGTCAATCTTTCTCGGGTTTTGAACAACCTACGAAGTATGACGGAAGCCAATAGCTTGGACGCAATCGGAAGTAGACTTATCCCCCGATAGTTGTTACAGGAACGACGTGAACCCTTTTTAAAGATAGGGACAACTATCGACTCATTCCATGACGTTGGTACACTCTCTAGTTCCCAAACCTTTGTAAACAACGTCGTCAATTCCTTAGTCAAAAAGTCACCACCATCTTTAAAAAGAGCCGGAGGTAAGTCATCTGGGCCAGGTGATTTGTAACGCTTCAAGAGTTGGAGTTCCTTGCGGACTTCCTCCTCATTTGGTGGATCAGTCGTCACCGGCCATGGAGGGCAGGACAGTCTGACCGATGTTGCCGGAGCAGCAGGCCAGTTGAACTGCCCTTCGAAAAATTCTGCCCATCGTCCAAGACGTCGATGGATGTTAGTGATTGGCATCCCATCATCCTCGCAGATTGTTTCACTCACACCAGACTTCTTGCTGCCAGTGGCTCGGATGAGTTGGAAGAGCTTCCGGTAGTTACCAGATGCAGCTGCTGCTTCCAGCTCATTAGCACGCTCCGACCACCAGGCTTCTCGGTCCTTACGCAAGCTTTGCCCAATTTCCTTACGTAACATCCTTCGTTTATGGTCAAACTCACGGTCACCCGGAGTAGACCGACGGGCTTCAATGAGTTGTAAGGAACCAGAAGAAACCCAGTGCTTATAAGCGGGACGTTTCGCAAACCCACAACTGACTGTTCCCGCCATTTTCATGGCGTCATGCAATTGCAACCAATGCTCATCTATACTTTTCGGTGGAGTGGTAGCTAGCCTAGAGGCTAGCTCGGTTCGATACTTACTTGCAACAGAAGTTGCAACCAGCTTGCTAACATCAATCCGTTGATGGCGGTCACTTCGTTGTCCACTGAAAAGTAAGGCAAGATTGGCGCAGACCAAGGCATGGTCAGAGTCCAGATAGGTACTCCAAAAGGAGCGGCAGTCTTGTACACAACCACGCCAGCGGTAGCTGATCGCGATGTGATCAATCTGAGTCCAGGCTTGAGATGCAGAGGGAGGACGCCAGGTGGCACATCGGCGATGACTGTGCCGAAAGTTAGTGCTAGCCAGAAACAGGTTGTGGTCTGTGCAAAGTTGCAGTAGACGGTCCCCGTTATCTGACCTGCGACCAACAAGTCCCCATCGGCCACCTAAACGACTCTCTTCTGTGCCTAGACGCCCGACCTGAGCATTCAAGTCTCCGGCTAGTACTACAATATCTGTCGAACGCACTTTCTGGAGAAGAACTGATAACTGGTGGTAAAACTCATCCTTGATTGCATCCGGGCTGCAATCTGTCGGGGCATAGGCGGAGATGACGAAAAGACATCGTTTCTCACGCCGATTTCTTCTCACTTTGATGGAACTTTCTAATCTAACAGCACATAACCGACTGTTAATGGGGATCCAATCGACTAGTGCTGCCTCAGCTCTAGCGCTTAGTGCGACACCAACGCCAGCAAGACCAGACGAAGATGCCACAGGGTCCCCGGATAAGCGCACGTAAAACAAGCTTTTCGAAGCGACAGATGGAGATCGAATTTGTAGTACTTCGCCAGAGTCTTGAATACGGGTCTCGGATAGACAACAAACATCAATATTAAGACTTTCCAAAGACATAGCCAGCCCTATCTGTTGTCCGACCTGCATAAATGTGCGAACGTTGAAGGCAGCCAGTTTGAATGGTGCACGTGGTTTCAGAAAAGGTGCTTCAGTACTCATATTCGGTGTTAACACACAATTTTCAACCGGACAGTGACTCGAGAACGTTTAGATAGAGTCGAATTTCCACCATAGACGAGGTGCTGTATAAGTCGAAAAAAATAAGTATAGACGGAGTAGGAATAACAGAGGGTGAATAATGACGTAGTAAATAATAATAATAATAATAATAATAATAATAATAATAATAATAGCAATAATAATAATTGAATCATTTGAATGTTCGTCGAAGCAAGAGAATTAGTTTCCATGATCATAGACAGTTCAGTTCATTAATTGCGTGTGGGCTGCGATACTGCCCGGGTGCCCAGACCGAAGCAGGTGGTTATCTTAGGGGGCCACACCCCGAGCCTTTGACCTAAAGGTCTAACCCACAAGGCAGTGGAGCATCGTGAGGAGATGCAGTCCCATGGTAACCGGTGACCGAAAATTGGTTCATACGCCATTCGTTCCTGCAGGATACTGGTGCCCATGTGCACCATTGGTTTGGTTTGTAATCCGGTTAAATCGCCGGACATTCGCTTTTCGTCCTCTCATTTTCGTAAACGACACCCCGCCACGAGAAGGCAGTGAGTAGGACTTCCCTGGCAGAGGCTATATATGTTATGACCTTGGATGTCTGACTTTCTATCAGGCGACTTATCAACCAATCAGGATCCGGGTTATACAATCTTCGCACTATGCCAAACCAATGATGTTCAACCGGTATGAGCAGTTTAGCGTCCTTATTGGTCCTATGTCCTCCTAACCCTTCCACTTGAGTCCAGAACACAATACCAGCTTCTGTAATATGAATCGAATCAGATCGAGTCGTTTATTTCAGACATACTCGGTTTATATATCAATCAGACCACAACGTACCATAAAATAGAAAATAACATGTGTACACAAATAAGCCAAAAAGTGGCTGTGAGCAAGGGGGACAGTAATTAATAGACTGAGCATAGCTTAAGAACCGTAAGTCGTACAATAATAAATTATAGGTCAAAATAAAGCTTATCATAAAAGGAATATAAATATACATAGTGTAATTGTTGAGTAGTTTTACAATAAGAATATTTATAGAATATTAATCCATAAATAGTCCTTGGAAGTTACCTGTAATTTAATCTTCACCGGATATAACAATATACGCGTGGCCGTGTGAGAGCATTTCGAGAGGGAGAGCGGACTCTCCCCAGTCTCGGCTGTACCAGGGCATTTGGGGGCAACATCTGTAGGGAAGCACGGGATAAAGTGGACATCTAGGATGCAGTTGGACGATCTAGACTTTGCGGATTATCTGGCTCTTCTATCGCAAACGCAACAACAAATGCAGGAGAAGACGAACAGTGTAGCAGCAGCCTCAGCAGCAGTAGGTCTCAATGTACACAAAGGGAAAAGCAAGATTCTCCGATACAACACAGCATGCACCAATCCAATCACAATTGACGGCGAAGATTTGGAAGATGTAAAAACCTGTACATATTTGGGCAGCATCATTGATGAACAGGGTGGATCTGATGCAGATGTGAAGGCACGGATCGGCAAAGCAAGAACAGCATATTTACAACTGAGGAACATCTGGAACTCAAAACAACTGTCAACCAACACCAAGGTCAGAACTTCAATACAAATTTCAAGACAGTTCTACTGTATGGTACGGAAACCTGGAGAACTACGAAAGCCATCATCCAGAAGATACAGGTGTTTATTAACAGTTGTCTACTCAAAATACTTCGGATCCGTTGGCCGAACACTATTAGCAACGACCTACTATGGGAGAGAACAAACCAGATCCCAGTGGAGGAAGAAATCAGGAAGAAGCTCTGGAAGTGGATAGGACACATATTGAGGGAAGCACCCAACCACGTCACAAGACAAGCCCTCACATGGAGTCCTCAAGGCCAAAGGAGAAGAGGAAGACAAAAGGACATTTTACGCCGGGAAATGGAGATAGACATAAGGAAAATGAACAAGAATTGGATGGAACTAGAAAAGAAGTCCGAGGACAGAGTGGGATGGAGAATGCTGGTCCGCGGCCTATGCTCTATTGGGAGTAACAGGCGTAAGTAAGTAAGTAAGTAATAATTGGTCAGTCATAAGCAACGTACAGTCCGGCAAAAGATTCCCTTTGACCCAAGTTATTTGACTTCACATCAATACAATGAGTTCGAATTTAAAAACAAAGGAGTTGAAGTAATAAAGCTGGTCTTGGAAATTAGATTGGTGATATAGTTGGAAACAATCAAGTTGAATCAAAGAATGGAAAGTATGGATAAACAGACCAGTGTCTGGAGAAATATAATAAATAAATCAATTTGCAACCCTGCAACTGGTGTTAAAAGATGTAGGCCATTGTAAACATCTCAGCATTCATTGGTTCACTCAGTTTAAACGTATTGAAAAACTAATAATAAATATATATTTTTTATATCCCAATGAATAGAAAAATTGTATTTCTGGCGTTTCGTAGCTTTATTTGAGCTACTTCTTCAGAGTAAAACGGTATCGTTCCCCATTGTTAAGTTCTGCTATCTGCTTTGCCTATTTGTTCTGAATAGTAGAAATTTTACCCTAGAAAAAGATTGCAGTACTCTGTTTTTATGGATTCTTAAACAGTTTATGTGTGGTTTTTCTGAAGTTTCATGGTTCCGTTTATCTTCCAAAAGTCACTTCAAATCTCGACTGTGAAATCTTAGTAATGTAGTCCGTCAAAATACTAACTCTTTGTGTCTATTTAGATGAACTATTGAAACTGTTCGACCAATTAATTAGTAATAAAGTAGTTGTGATCGCCTAACAGACTTTTTCGTTATCGGACAATTCATAATCCATAGTATCAGCGTGTTTAAAAGCCGGGAAAATAGCAATGATTAACGTTCAGAAACGAATCAACAGAGGTTAATAGTGGCCCACATTATTCACCCTCTTTTATACTTATACAGCGGCTCGTCTTTGGTGGAAATTCGACTGTATCTAAACGTTCTCGAGTCACTGTCCGGTTGAAAATTGTATGTTACCACCGAATACGAGAACTGAAGCAGTTTTTCTGAATCCACGTGCACGATTCAAACTGGCTGCCTGGTGGTCAGTGTATGACATGGTGTCGTGGTATGAAAGAAGGCTGCAAAGGGCTGGCTTCTGTTGGTCCTTCACGACTCCCTGATTGGGGTCTGAGAGATGGTACAACACAGTGGCTAGAGACGTTATCAGATATGGCTCAGAATAGAAGCCAGTGGTGATCCTGCTGTAACCTTCTTTTTCTTTCTTCATAAAAAGTGGTTGTGTCTCCCTTAACTGAAAGATTTCTTCTGACTGTACCTTCCCGTTCCCTCGTTACTAGCACACTACCTTACACCAATCTCTTCCTTATTGTTCTCTTTTTCTTTTGCGCTTCTTAGTTTTTTTTTCTTTCTATTTCTCTTCAAATTCTCATTGTTTTGTGTGGCGCATATATATTGGCGCTCTCCTGTACCAATATTCATGTGTTCAAATAAATAAATAAATAAATAGTGGCCAGTTATCGGATTCTGGTTCATTGATTTTCTATACCATGGGCTTACCTATTTCCGTTGATTATTAGATGATATCTACTATTATCAACTATCACTGTGCTGATTATTCATCAGTTCTAACATTAGGAATCATGAAAATGGTCCTTCAGAACTACTTGTCTTTTGACATTATAGCAGAAACGTGTTGTTTGTTTTTACAATTGTCCGTCACAGTCTTTATATTCTACCTAACTTGTGCTTAAATAAAATAGCTAATAATTTATTATCACATGACTCTAAGAAAACTAATGTTAGATAGCGTTTGTAGGAACCTTAGTATTATTATTATTATTATTATTATTATTACTATTATTAATGGCTTTATTCAATATTATATTTTGGTACAATATAGAATTCTCAGCACAGGGTATTTCAACAAGTTGTATACAGTTATAGTATACGGTTATTTTTTTAACCGAATATATATACAATCTTCACAGTTTGAAATCATGATTTGGTCTTAGTTAGACCACCATTGTAAACATGGAAGTACTGAACAGCCGCTTCAGCAGCGCACATCCACAAGCGGGCGTTCAGGAGTGGAACCAAGGACTTTCGATCTTGCATGCGAACGATTAACCACTGAGCCGACACCCAACGGTGTTAATATCTAACTTCGATCAGTTTACAATATTGCCCAACCTTTATCCTCTGGTAGATGGTTGTTTTATACGCGACATAGTTGAATTCCACTGGTCATGAATTTTTTTTTTAGAACTTGAGGAGTTGTATCCTGCAGCTAGTCACTAGTGAGTTGCTTACTTACTTACGCCTGCTACTCATCGTGAAGGGGCATAGGCCGCCCAGCAGTACTCTCCATCCAACCCTGTCCTGGGCAGTACAGAATCGTTGTTAGTATAGTAGGATTTGTGGGGATCGCTGAATTTTCGTAGTTTTAAATAACGAACTGATCTTAGTTAAATGTCTTAGATAATACAGTAGTATAAGTTATTTGTTGTGGTAATTTTTATGTTTACAACTAGGTTACATCAATAATAAAATCTCTGATTGAAATTTATAACTTTAATTACAGTTCAGTGAATCCTGTACATTCTAGATGACTTTCGTGGTCATTCAGATATAATGTTAACGTAATTCAATAACTTGTTGATAAAAAGAACTATCAGTTCAGTTAAGCACTGAGTTTTATTGGAATGTTTGCCCATTTTGTAAAAGTAAATATCTTAATCCATCACCCATGATGGAGTTACAACACCAGGTGACATGCTTGATGGTGAGATTTAATTTAAGCGTTAAAATACCATTTAAAGCCACCTATAAAATGAACATCATTGTAGTTATTATCACATTCCACCTATTTAGATTCCTTTGATCATTGTCAAGTTAACTTACAGTCTTCTCTGTAAATTCTTGTATCTGAAAACTATTTCCATATATTCTCTAGACAAGCTGCATCAAGGAGAACCCCTATAAACATTCCATCAAGCTCGCTGCCTTCATTTCCCTATGGTGCAGCTAAATATTTTGTTCCATGTAAGTATTGAAACTAAAAATTCTTCCTTATTTATGTAAATATTTCTTGTAGATAAAGAACTAGAATTTTACCTCAATTTCTTCACCTCATGAAAAAAATAGTATTATGCCAGGACGAAGTAACCGTCCGTTGCTTCATGGTTTAAAATGGTTTTTTCAACTGATATGAGTCTTGAATAAAAACATCATACTGAAAAATCTCGGCCAACCCCGTTATTGAATGATCATCACGGGATCACTATGGATTAACTCCAAAAAGAATTCCCAGTGTATTAGAGCAAAGCTGTAACTCGTGTTTCTCAACCATGTCGAGAGTAAGATAAAAATCCCTGATATTCACGCCACATTGTTGATTGGCTGAAGATTAAAATGTGGACTATTGGCTCCTGACTCGGTAGCTCTATAGTTATTTATTTATTTGAACATATATATATTGGTACAGGAGTGCGCCAAATATGTATGCGCCACACAAAACAATGAGAATTTAAGAAGAAAAAGAAAAAAGTGCGGAACGTAAAAAATATAAAAAAAAAACAATAACGAAGAGATTGGTGTAAGGTGGTTTAATAATAATAGTAATAGTAGGGGAACAGAAGGGTACAATCAAAAGAAATCTTTCAGTTAAGGGAGACACAACCACTTTTTATGAAGAAAGTAAAAGGTTACAGCAGGATCGCCACTGGCTTCTATTCTGAGCCATATCTGATAACGTCTCTAGCCACTGTGTAGCACCATCTCTCGGACCCCAACCAGGGAGTCGTGAAGGACCAACACAAGCCAGTCCTTTGCAGCTTTCTTTCATACCACGACACCATGTCATGCACTGACCACCTCTCCGCTTCTTCCAACCAGTCCCAGAGTCGGCAAATAATGCACGACGTGGAATTCTCTGGGACGACATTCGGAGAACATGTCCAAGCCACCGAAGTCGGTGTTTCAAGATGGTGACACCAATTGATTATCATCTCTGTGCCCGAACACACGATGCCGAACCTCTGCATTACTGACATGGTGTTGCCACTGAATGTCAGCAATCCTTCGGAGACAGCGATGATCGAACACAGAGAGTCGTCTAACGTCCTCAACTCGGAGAGGCCAGGTTTCACAAGCATAGAGCAAAACTGCTCTCACCGACGCGTTGTAGATCCGACCTTTTACAGCCAGACTAACATCACGAAGGCGCCAAAGGTGGCCCAGATTGGCATAAGCCGCTCTGGCTTTCACTATTCGTGCATTGATCTCATCACTCACACCCCACCAGCACTTATGCAGCTACCCAGATACACGAACTTCTCGACTACGTCTATCTGCTCACCATCCAGGGTGAGTACAGGATTAGAATCCTGCCAGTCTTGTAGAAGTACTTTGCACTTCGAAGGTGCAAAGCACATACCATACCTACGGACACTGATTGCCAACTGATTAAGTGCGGATTGCATGCCTTGGGCATTATCGCACAGTAAGACAATATCGTCCGCATACTCAAGGTCGAGAAGTCTTTCTCCAGGCAACAGATCCACACCACCATTACTTACATTCATCAGAGCTGTTTCCAGAATGTCATCGATGGCAAAGTTGAAGAGGAATGGTGAGATTGGGCAACCCTGCCTAACCCCACTGCTCGAATGGAACAATGGAGAGAGGTGGTTGTATGCCCTCACTCTGCCTGAGGTGTTTTTATATAGGGCTTTTAGGATGTTAATAAACTTCTCAGGCACACCCTTCTTCAATAGACAATCCCAGAGAACAGTCCTGTCCAACGAATCGAAGGCAGCCCTGATGTCAAGAAACACTACGATTGTTGGCCTTTGATAAGTATGGCGGTGTTCTAACATTTGGCGGAGGGTGAAGATATGATCAATACATCCTCGACCAGAACGAAACCCAGCCTGCTCCTCGCGAGTCAATCTTTCTCGGGTTTTGAACAACCTACGAAGTATGACGGAAGCCAATAGCTTGGACGCAATCGGAAGTAGACTTATCCCCCGATAGTTGTTACAGGAACGACGTGAACCCTTTTTAAAGATAGGGACAACTATCGACTCATTCCATGACGTTGGTACACTCTCTAGTTCCCAAACCTTTGTAAACAACGTCGTCAATTCCTTAGTCAAAAAGTCACCACCATCTTTAAAAAGAGCCGGAGGTAAGTCATCTGGGCCAGGTGATTTGTAACGCTTCAAGAGTTGGAGTTCCTTGCGGACTTCCTCCTCATTTGGTGGATCAGTCGTCACCGGCCATGGAGGGCAGGACAGTCTGACCGATGTTGCCGGAGCAGCAGGCCAGTTGAACTGCCCTTCGAAAAATTCTGCCCATCGTCCAAGACGTCGATGGATGTTAGTGATTGGCATCCCATCATCCTCGCAGATTGTTTCACTCACACCAGACTTCTTGCTGCCAGTGGCTCGGATGAGTTGGAAGAGCTTCCGGTAGTTACCAGATGCAGCTGCTGCTTCCAGCTCATTAGCACGCTCCGACCACCAGGCTTCTCGGTCCTTACGCAAGCTTTGCCCAATTTCCTTACGTAACATCCTTCGTTTATGGTCAAACTCACGGTCACCCGGAGTAGACCGACGGGCTTCAATGAGTTGTAAGGAACCAGAAGAAACCCAGTGCTTATAAGCGGGACGTTTCGCAAACCCACAACTGACTGTTCCCGCCATTTTCATGGCGTCATGCAATTGCAACCAATGCTCATCTATACTTTTCGGTGGAGTGGTAGCTAGCCTAGAGGCTAGCTCGGTTCGATACTTACTTGCAACAGAAGTTGCAACCAGCTTGCTAACATCAATCCGTTGGTGGCGGTCACTTCGTTGTCCACTGAAAAGTAAGGCAAGATTGGCGCAGACCAAGGCATGGTCAGAGTCCAGATAGGTACTCCAAAAGGAGCGGCAGTCTTGTACACAACCACGCCAGCGGTAGCTGATCGCGATGTGATCAATCTGAGTCCAGGCTTGAGATGCAGAGGGAGGACGCCAGGTGGCACATCGGCGATGACTGTGCCGAAAGTTAGTGCTAGCCAGAAACAGGTTGTGGTCTGTGCAAAGTTGCAGTAGACGGTCCCCGTTATCTGACCTGCGACCAACAAGTCCCCATCGGCCACCTAAACGACTCTCTTCTGTGCCTAGACGCCCGACCTGAGCATTCAAGTCTCCGGCTAGTACTACAATATCTGTCGAACGCACTTTCTGGAGAAGAACTGATAACTGGTGGTAAAACTCATCCTTGATTGCATCCGGGCTGCAATCTGTCGGGGCATAGGCGGAGATGACGAAAAGACATCGTTTCTCACGCCGATTTCTTCTCACTTTGATGGAACTTTCTAATCTAACAGCACATAACCGACTGTTAATGGGGATCCAATCGACTAGTGCTGCCTCAGCTCTAGCGCTTAGTGCGACACCAACGCCAGCAAGACCAGACGAAGATGCCACAGGGTCCCCGGATAAGCGCACGTAAAACAAGCTTTTCGAAGCGACAGATGGAGATCGAATTTGTAGTACTTCGCCAGAGTCTTGAATACGGGTCTCGGATAGACAACAAACATCAATATTAAGACTTTCCAAAGACATAGCCAGCCCTATCTGTTGTCCGACCTGCATAAATGTGCGAACGTTGAAGGCAGCCAGTTTGAATGGTGCACGTGGTTTCAGAAAAGGTGCTTCAGTACTCATATTCGGTGGTAACATACAATTTTCAACCGGACAGTGACTCGAGAACGTTTAGATAGAGTCGAATTTCCACCATAGACGAGGTGCTGTATAAGTCGAAAAAAATAAGTATAGACGGAGTAGGAATAACAGAGGGTGAATAATGACGTAGTAAATAATAATAATAATAATAATAATAATAATAATAATAATAATAATAATAATAGCAATAATAATAATTGAATCATTTGAATGTTCGTCGAAGCAAGAGAATTAGTTTCCATGATCATAGACAGTTCAGTTCATTAATTGCGTGTGGGCTGCGATACTGCCCGGGTGCCCAGACCGAAGCAGGTGGTTATCTTAGGGGGCCACACCCCGAGCCTTTGACCTAAAGGTCTAACCCACAAGGCAGTGGAGCATCGTGAGGAGATGCAGTCCCATGGTAACCGGTGACCGAAAATTGGTTCATACGCCATTCGTTCCTGCAGGATACTGGTGCCCATGTGCACCATTGGTTTGGTTTGTAATCCGGTTAAATCGCCGGACATTCGCTTTTCGTCCTCTCATTTTCGTAAACGACACCCCCGCCACGAGAAGGCAGTGAGTAGGACTTCCCTGGCAGAGGCTGTATACGCGTGGCCGTGTGAGAGCATTTCGAGAGGGAGGGCGAACCCACCCGCTCTCAGCATACCAGAGCATTTGGGGAGTTAAAAAGGTCCTGATAGCTATCCCTAGCGGATCCATAGTATTACAGTACAGAGTAGTGTCAAACAACTAAGAAACAGTTTTACAATAGCCAGTCTGTTTTCCTTCAATACGGTGAGCTAATAGTAGAATATAATCGTATTTTAGTATCGTAGATTAACATTTTTGATCTGCTTCTTTGTGATGAAACCCCTGTATAAGCTATTCAAGTAATTAAACCATCTGACTTTCAGTCACTGTTTGTGGTTTCAAATCTCACTTCACCTCCGGTTTAGGCAGCTTTGTTTTACCTATACATTCTACATAAAATATGTAGCTCAAAGTCGTGTGCATACAAAATTGGTATTTGGTAAATGAGTTACGTGGATTTACATTAATACAAATTGTGATTTCAATTTTTTTCGACACAATGAATGTTACATGCCCTCATATGGAGCGCCTATAGAGTTAGCATAAATTTAGTAGATGTTTTTGACTATTACCACTTGCGTTGTTGATTTTGATGTAAAGTTTATCTTTGAATTTTGTCAATAAATTAATATTTCAGTTTTTATTTAAAACGAATAATAAACTACTGTTCACCAATTCTCTCAATCTCTTTCTGCATCATTTTCTGTCATTTCAGCTCATCTACCTGGTAAAATATTAACTGATGGTTTAGACAATCAAACTTTCAGTGTAACATCAGTCAGTTTTAGTTCAGATGGTGAAGAACTACTAGCTAATGTTGGACGTGATAATATTTATCTATTTCATTTAGCTTCACAAAATGAACCATTTCAATGTCAATCATCGTTTAAATCAACTAAATTATTGTATAGTTTATCTGCAACGCAACCAAGGGATAGGTTTCGTTCTTTTCGTATTCCTACCTGGTTTCGTCCTTCAAATATGGGATATTATGATTCTTATTCGGGTAATATAAATATTACTGTTTACACTTGTTCTAAACTCTTACGTCGTTATCTGTGATGGGTTTTGTTCGTTCTCTGTTGTCGATATTCAATATTGATCAGTTTCATTTTGGCTATAAGCTATATGGCTATTTAGAGCTGAAGGTCTCATATGAGACTGGAGGTTCGCCATTGTTATTGTGGACGGTTCGGCATTGCTTTGGCAAGTTTTGCTGACTGTTCATGCAAAAATTGGTTTGCTGGTTAATCGATTTCATTCATACTGGTGGTTGCTTTTCAGTGTTCCCGAGGGCCATTGTCTTTGGGACATTGTAAGGCATGCCGCCATTGCTAATATTAACGAGTTTGACTGTCGTGTAAGCGGAATAGGTCAACTTTGGCTTGTTCGTGCTGTGCATAATTGATTCACGCGATCATTGATCGGAATAACTATACATGTGATGTGAGTGTGTATATGAATGGTGCGAATGGTCCACCAGGGTGCGTGGTACCTGTGTGGTTGCGCCACAGGATTGAGTTGTACTATTCAGATTGTAGCGTTAAAGCCTGTACGGTGTCTGGTTCCTCTGCTAAACGGAGTTGAGCTGTGCTGTTTGGGTTTTTGCGTGAAAGTCTGGATGGTGTCTGGTTCTCCTGAAAACCAATGTAAAATTACCCTGGCCCACAAGGGTATATTATATAACTTCATTTTGGCAATGTACTCTTTAATCATTTACGTTTTGAATAGAAGCCAAAAGTACAGGATGCAAATTTTTTTCTATTTAGGGCTAACCAATTGGGTGTAATCCGTCATATATTGTTTAAAAACTTTAATTTTATCTATTAAACGTTAAATGACAAGTGAATGATAATTAAATAAACTTTACTACCATCTTTCTATAGGTTCAACTTATGATTACCGTTGTAATTCTTCTATGGCTTCTGATTACTCAGTCGTACTGGCTTCACGATTAATTGAAGCCAAGGCGTATGCTGTTGCAGTTCATAAGTATAATCAACTTATTCAACAGTATCCTTTCTGTCCTCAACTGTATACAGGTCGCGCTACTGCTTTAATTAAAAGAAATTGGTCAGTCATTTTGTGACATTTTTGTTTTCCTACTGCTGTGTTGGGTCTATGTTGTTTATTTAATAGCTTGTGTTTTATTCAAGCTCTTCATTATGTTCTAGTCTAGTATCATTCAGTAAGCTTAATATTATGTAAGTAACAAGATTTTCATCAAGAATTATGACTAATATAATATATAGTAATAATACAGGAATTTAGAACAACATATATAAGCGAACAATATTGTTTTCGATTACATCCTCATCAGGCTTTACTTCTAATATACAGTAATATTTATATGCATATATGAAATTATTAAACCAATCAAGGTAGTTTATGAGACAATGGTAACAATGAGAACGATTACATAATAAGTGAAAAGTACAAATTGGTAGTGTGATAACAGGTGCATTAGTTTTGATAAGAATATTAAAGGTTCAAATCAATGCTACATAATCGGAAATAGGTCAGTGATTAGAAAAATATAGACAGTGAGATAACATTTATAAAATTACAAGATGACGTAATTAGGAGTGTTCAGATAATTGGACTGTGAAACGTATATTTGAGAGAAAATAAACTAAAGTGGTAGGAGAGGGTGAAGAAAATAATAAACGAAGGGAAAGTTTGAAAAAATAATAAATACATTTATTAAGGCCAAGGGAGAGATAAGGGTGTTACAAATTTCTTTGAACACAAAGACTTGACTTGTTGGTTCGGATTCCTATAGCTATGTGTGAGAGACGAGATCGAACACCATAAGGAAAACTAGTGGGAATACGATAAATAACTTTGAACGACTTGTTTCTGTCCACTATATGACCGCTATCGATCAAGTGTGTTAGAACCGAGCTGCGTATTGTTTTGACGTAACCTTTTCCTAACCACGAAGGGAGGTGTTCACTAACTCTGGTTCAGTTGCCTGGTAGTGCGTCCAATATAACTTTCTCCACAGGAGCAGCTGAATTCGTAAATACACATAGAAGTGGCATAACCAGGTAACTTATCCTTCGGTTGGAGAATCACCATAGATCGGGTGGAATACGATAGATAGAGGTTGGCAGCATTAAACGTTCTCTTTACTGCTCTAGTCAGTCCACACGTAATACATCACCATTGAATTGCAGATTCAAAAAGAGGTTTTTTATTAGCCGTTAGTGTCACTATTTTCTTGTTTGTTACACGCAATTGTTTCTTCAGGAAACCCTGTAGATATCCCAATTCAATCAATATATTATGAATGTACTCTAATTCCTTATCAATTGTGTCAACTGAGCATATCTTAATAGCTCTATTTGCCATCACGGGATATGAAGTTATATGTTGTATATATTTTGAAACTATACGGTTGATTAAGCATTCTTTTTCGGTCTCATTCTAGTGTAATCATATGTGACACTTTTTTAGTCATCATGGTAATTAAATTTTTATATCTACTGTCTTTTTCACATCCTTTTGATTTGTATAAATTATAGTGGGTTTCATTCGACTTTGATTTTGTTGTGAATGTTTCCATAGATGAATAGTTTATAGACAAGTAGTATTGAAGATTTTGACATGAAACAAGCGCCATATATATACATGTTTTGCTGTACGTGGTCAGTTTTAAGAACACTATAGTTTAATCGGCAATAGGTCTGAATCCGTAGATAACCGTCTCACTTTTGGTATAAGAATCACTAGTAGCATGGGACGATCACATCTTATATTGGCTGTTGGCTTGTTATTAGGTTAATTTCTCAATTAATCAGTTTAGCTTATTCCCACCCATTCAACTCAGGTTTTGCAAAGAATCTGTGTGAAAAACCCTGAAATTTCCCGGATACACGGTTGTTTTCTGCTACCTAGATTAGCTAAAAGAAACATGGAATAATACTTGTTAGTATATCAAAGTGCACTTTTACAGTTAAGACCCAAAACTGAATTTATCGATGACTAGCCTAAAGCTTTATTTTTCATTCGTGGAAAAGATCAATCTGTTAGATTTTAAGAACATTCTTGAGTAAGCTTTGAATGTATTCTTTTATTTTAATTAAAGGAATGGCGATATTTATAATGCGCTATTGGATTGCCGAAATGCTATCCAACTGACTACTCAAAGCAACAATGATCCTGTCAGCATCCAAAATAACTATACCATTAATAAACATCAATTGTTAAGCAGTTCCGTTTACCTTACAGCTCTATTACTTTCAGTTCGATGTTTATTATGTTTGGATTGGTTAAATGCTGCTCGTATTCAGCTCAAACAAGCACTGGACAGCTTTCCCAATCTCTTCAAAACTATTACGCATCAAAAGATTTCGGATAAAGCGCTTATTACACCTACTATCATCGCTTCTTCTTCTTCTTTTTCTTCGTCATCTGCTAACGCACCAACAATCAGTACCACTGATACAAATCCGTCCAAGTATATTTGCAAATCAGACAACCTGGTTAAAGTGTTCGAACATTTAAAGTCTACATTGTTGGCGAGAGAAAAACAATTAGAATCACAATCTAACAAGTCGAAAAGAAAAGGAAAGCAAGTTAGTGAAAAAAAACATCAGTACATGATAATAATGATAACAATGATACCAATGATGATAATGATGATGACGACAATGATGCCAAAGGATCTACAATACCAAGACCAGAAACTTTATCTTTCTTGAAATGCGATAACAGTATGTTCCTTTTCTTGTTTTAGTAAACTGACTCACTGAAGTCGATTTTCATTTTTTTTAGAAGTATGTATAACAAATGAAAAAATAAGTAGGATTATTAAATGTATCTGTATGTTAATTCACCCAGTGGAAATTCGAGTTTACTTGTTTATATTAAAAAAAAAACACTGACTCGAACAAAATAAATATGAATTCAATGAAGTATATGAGGCATCTACTTGGCGAATTTGCACACTTATCTTCCTGTCTTTTATTATAATCAACTATTTTAAAAGACATTTCAAAAATAGAACTTTCTTCAGCGAGAATAAACATGTATTCTCGTCATTGACCTCAATCTTGCTCACTGGAATTAGTTGGTATTATAAGTGTTTTTTTAAACCCATGTAAGAACCCTTGGACCTTTTCGTAAAACTCCTTCAACTATCACTAGGTTATTGAGTAAAGGGACAAAGTGTCGGTAGAGATTTTTGGATAATCTGAAAAACGTAGTGCTATGACGCTTTCTGGTCTGGAATTCCTTAGTCGTTAGATCGTATAAAAACACACCAATCAAAATCCTAACATATTCTTCTCGAGTCCGGATATTCTAGTCCATCTATTGACTGACCACTTAACTTGACCAGTACGACGCTTAGGCTGGCTCGAGTAACTTAGAGCATTGACGAGATAAGCATGACTCATGTTGGGCTCCCGATGTGTATGACATTTTCATCCCCGATTTCGGGTCTGGTAATAAAAAAGCAGCAGACAAGCTTCTACCATTATATTTCAGGCACCCAGTAAAGCCATTTCGAGCACTATTTAGTTTACATGTACAAATTATCGGACCGCAACGCACCCTCGATGAGAAACCATGCTTTACATACAATCCTTCTGTAAGCGGCAAAGAACAGAATGAACGATACGTAATTAATTAATAATTAATGAATAATAAAGCATTTAGCACTAGTCAATAGGTTAAACGGTAGCTTGCGATGCAAGACATACAGAAATATAATTATTCAACTATCTAATAATTATACAATAAAAATATAAGCAATAAAATTCCGTGAACTAGTTAAGAATGCTACGAAATCCCCAGCATTTGATCTGTCACAAAATATTCTATCATAATTATCATTTATATAGACTCCGACCGTTGTTGTTAACTCGAGGTGGTGATCGGGCTTGCTCATCTTAATAAACCAGTCGAGCCATACTGGCTGGAACAATCGTTTCTCAAGGTCCTACCATGCCAGACAGGTCGGTTAGGGGGCAGTAAGACTAAAAGCAACAAACCCAAGGTCTGAGGGCGAAATCGTACTGTTGACTGTACAGAGGTGTGACAGCAGTAAGGCGTTCCCCTTAGACAACCCGCATAACAGTGATGTTGCCCCCAAATGCCCTGGTAAGGCCGAGAGTGGGGAGGGTCCGCTCTCCCTCTCGAAATGCTCTCACATGGCCACACGTACATAGCCTCTGCTAGAGAAGTCCTACCCACCGCCTTCTTGTGGTGTTGTTTACGAAATTGAGAGGACGAAAAGCGAATGTCCGGCGCATTAACCGGGTTGGTGGACATGGAGAGTCCACATAGGGAAGCTGGAAAACCCTGATTCCAAACCAATGGTCCACATGGGCTCCAGTATCCTGAAGGAGCAAATGGTGTATGAACCAATCGTTGGTCACCGGCTACCATGGGACTGCATCTCCTTACGTTGCTCCACTGCCTTGTGGATCAGACTTTTAGGTCGAAGGCTCGGGATGTGGGGCCCCCTAAGAAAATATCCTGCTTCGGTTTGGGCACCCGGGTAGTATCACAGCCCTCACACATATCAAATGAGATTTGTGTTGTGCATATGTATTTGGTGCCTCCTTGTACCGAAATCTATGTGTTAAAATAAAAAAGACGGGGTGAGGTTAGAAAAGATCGACCCTAAAAATGCACACCTCGCCTTATCCCACGGATTTCCTTCTCCGGCGGTAAGGTCTCAACAAGTACGGAGCTAACACGAAAATTACCCACAAAAATGTCGTGTGTGACCAACCTCAAGCAGTTGTCCCTTGGGCACTGTGGTCACGCTCTCAGTTCACTAAGACCACCTCTAACCCTATTTCCTTTTCAGGTACCTCCAGAAGAACCCTTCCACGGTGTGGGCAACTGGGAAGTGATAACTATCCTCATACCTCTAACAGTACTCAAGATCACTGTATTCATGATCAATCACTCTCTTCAATTCCTATTATTCCTCCTACCTCGACTTTCAACTCTAATCTTCCTCTCTTACTTCCTCCTCAAGTGTCACCATGGCCAACGATTCTAGTGCGCAAAACACTGTCCCAGGTCTACTGAAACCTCGCTCCAAACTACACATTGGAGCCTTCAACGTATGCACCCTGTATCAAGTCGGCCACAGGCCTCTTTGGCTAAAACCCTAGAATCTTGTACCATTGGTGTATGATGTGTCGATCGAAGATTTTCGCTCGTTCTGGAATACCTGCTTGGACTCCGATCATGCTCTAATACGAGCACGCATTTGATTGCTCCTCATTGAATTGGCTCCAGAGGTCTTTAAGTATTGTGGTCCAGTCTTAGAGATTAGTTTGACTAAAGTCTGGGAACTCGACGTAATCCCATTTCACTGGTCGCAATCACTGATTGTCCCAATATATAAGAAAGGATCAAAATCATTCTGTGATAATCATAGAGCGATTAGTTTGACTAATATATCATCTAAAGTACTAGTCTCAATAATTATTGAATGCTTAACAAAGACTGATGAACTACAAACACGAGAAAATCAGGCTGGCTTCAGACCTGGTCGTGGCTGCATCGACCACATATTCACTATTCGTTAGATTTTAGAACACAGGCATGCTTATCGGCATCTGACAATGATGGTCTTCCTTGACTTAAAAGCAGCATTTGACTCTGTTGACCGAGAGGTTCTGTGGCAATGTCTGTCATTGAAAGGCGCACCTCAGAAGTGCATAAACCTTGTGAAGACTCTTTATCCGAACACTACTAATCGATTGAGAGCTTATAGTGAACTGTCATCTGATTTTGCAATCTCAAGTGGTATCCATCAAGACTGTCCACTATCTCCATTTTTGTCCAACTTCATCATAAACCTACTGATGGAAATAATGTTCTCGTCGACTGAATTCTCGGGCATTGATCTCCTTTTAAGAGGTCCACTTATCGACTTGAAATACACAGAATGGTGAATATGTGGTCGATGCAGCCACGACCAGGTCTAAAGCCAGCTTGGTTCTCTCGTGTTTGTAGTTCACGAGTCTTAGTTAGGCGTTTGATAATTATCGAGGCCAGTATTTTAGATACTATGTTTGTTAAACTAATCCCTCTGTGGTTGTCACAGGATGATTTTGACCCTTTCTTATATATTGGGACGATAAGTGATTGCGACCAGTCAGATGGGATAACGTCTAACTCCCAGATCTTAGCTAAAATATTAGTCAACCTAATCGCTAAAATTGGACCACCATCCTTAAAGACCTCTGGAGCCAATCCATCTGGACCAGCTGCCCTTCCTCGTTTCAGATTAACTATAGCCTTCTCAACTTCAGCAAGAGTTGGGGGACCTACTTCAATGTTCCATTCACTTGTCTGGGAATGGAGGGTAGTTGTAGAGTAGCTGAAGGCCAGCTGAACTGTTCTCTAAAATGTTCCGCCCATCGTTCTAAACGTCTGGACTGGGAGCAGATGAGAGTATCATCTTTTTCCGAAATAATCTCACTTACACTTGACTTATTAATTCCAGTTTCTTTTATTAGTCTGTAAAGCTGTCTTGTGTTCCCTATAGTCGCCGCCTTTTCCATCTCTTTTGCTTTCGTTACCCACCACTGCTCACGGTCGTTCCTTAGACTTTTTCTTAACCTAGATCTGATTTGTTGTCGCTCTTCATCATGTTCAGAACCTGATGGGACGAGTTTGCGAGAATCCATCAGTGTGACAGACCTTGAAGAAATCCACTGGTTCCTTGTAACTCTGTGGTTTAAGTCACTAATAGATGTCACTGCTGTTTCCACAGCTGATTGTATGCCCTTCCAAGCAACATCTGGGTCAGCCTCGTCTTCACAACTACCTAAGTGTGACCTCAGTTGTTCCTGGAACCTACTTTTGGTTTTCTCGTTACTCAACTCAGTTCTAACGGGTCTTTTTAATGTGGCTTTTTTGCGTCCAGTGAGGCGCAAGCAGATGCGTGCCCGTATTAGGGCATGGTCGGAGTCCAAGCAGGTACTCCAGAATGAGCGACAATCTTCTACCGACCCTCTCCAACGATGACTGATGGCAATATGGTCTATTTGAGTCCATCGTTGGTTTGGTGTAGGGGGTCGCCATGTTAGACGATGTCTCTCCTTATGCTTAAAATTTGTGTTTGCTAAAAATAAACGATTGTCTGAGCATAGCTGCAGCAGACGATCACCATTATCTGTTCGCTGTGTCGGAATACTAAAATATCCACCTAAATGCCTTTCTGTTTGGTTTAAACTGCCTATCTGAGCATTAAAATCACCTGCTACGAGTACTATGTCTGAGCGTTTAGCTTTCTGAAGAAGTTCGGAAGCTTTCTGTAAAATTCATCTTTCACTTCATCTGAGCTGCAGTCAGTGGGAGCGTAGGCAGAAACGACAAAAAGGCAACGACGTGTGTCCCTATCCTTCCGAGTTCTTACGTAGCCGTTCAGCCGAACAGCACATAGACGACTGTTGACGGGGATCCACTCTAGCAGTGCTTGTTCGGCCCTCATGCTTAGTGCTATGCCTACACCTGCCAGTCCACGAGAACTTGCCATCGGGTCACCAGACACACGAAGGGTGTATCTCGTTGGCTCTCCGTCTTGCCGAGGTGAGGTCAAGTGAATGACCACACTGGAATCCTGTATGCGTGTTTCGGAGACACAGCATACATCAATGGAAAGAGACTCTAGGGTTTTAGCCAAGGAAGCCTGCTGACCGATTTGACATAGGGTGCGTACGTTGAAGGCTCCAATGTGTAGTTTGGAGCGAGGTTTCAGTAGACCTGGGACAGTGTTTTGCGCACTAGAATCGTTGGCTATGGTGACACTTGAGGTGGAAGCCGAGAGAGGAAATATAGAGTTGAAAGTCGATGTAGGAGGAATAATAGGAATTGAAGAGGGAGGTTGATTATGAATACAGTGGTCTTGAGTGCTGTTAGAGGTATGAGGGCGGTTATCACTTCCCGGTTGCCCACACCGTGGAAGGGTTGTTCTGGAGGTACCTGAAAAGGAAATTGGATTAGAGGTGGTCTTAGTGACCTGAGAGCGTGACCGCAGTGCCCAAGGGACAACTGCTTGAGGTCGGTCACACACGACCTTGTTATGGGTAATTTTTGTGTTAGCTCCGTACTTATTGAGACCTTACCGCCGGAGACGGATATCCGTGGGATAAGGCGAGGTGTGCATTTTTAGGGTCGACCTTTTCTAACCCCACCCCTCCTTGTGGGAAGGCAGCATCGCTGTCATGCTGGTTGTCTGAAGGAAACACCTTACTGCTGTCACACCTCTGTACAGTCAGCAGTACGACTTCGCCTTCGGACCTTGGGTTTGTTGCTTTTAGTCTTACCGCTCTTCAACCGACCTGTCTGACATGGTAGGACCTTGAGGAACGGTTGTTCCAGCCAGTATAGCTCGGTTGCTTCATCACGATAGGCAAGCCCGACCACCACGTCAAGGTAGCAACAACGGTCGGGAGCACTAAACAACAATGCCAGGATGTTTGGGATGCATTTCTCCGCCTCTAAATGTAAGTTGTTGCTACAGGACTCTCCACCTCTCTTGTTTTCGCAGCCCACCACTGTTCGTGATCATTGCGTAGGCTTCTTATCAGCCTGTGCTTCGGAAAACTTGGCCCTTCATCATGTTCAGAGCCTGATGGGATGGGTTTTCGAACATCTGACAGTGCGGTAGATGCTGCTGAGATCCAGTATTTTTCCCTAACCTTATGGTTTACCTTATTACCTCGATCGTTGATCGTCAAAAATCCTCATACGACAATCACAGAGGAATCAATTTAGCTTATAGTGTCTAAAATGATATCTCGACGTCTAGCTAGAGCTCGTGAGGAGCGAACCCGAGTAAACTGGTATGGTTTCAGATCTGGACTTTAATGTATACACCAAGTATTCACCACCCGGCAGATTCTGAAACATAGACATACTTTTCGACGTCCAACTGTAGGTGTATCCCTTGACCGTAAGACAGCATTCGACTCCGTTAATCGCGAGGAGATTCACTTGTTGACTTACAATACCCAGGTGATATTGTTCTGTTTGGTGAAGACACAGACAAAATACAATCCTCCAACCACCCTAAGTAACAATCTAAACATGTTTGGGATGCGGTTCTCTCCCTGCAAATGTAGAATGTCACTTCAGAATTGGCTTGCGTCATGGGCTGAACTAATGATGGTGAGTGTAGTAGTTGAACGCATCGACTGCTCAACTTATCTTGGGTGTTTCGTTTGTCCTGAGGTCTGACGAAATCTCTGCACTGATTCGAAAAGCTTCATCGACTTTCGCCAACTTGCGTCACCTGTGGCGTAAGCGAGATATTCATCTTTTAACCAAAGGGCGGGTTTGCTGCTCAACGATTCGTTGGTTGGTAGCACTAAACAACAATGCCAGGATGTTTGTGATGCGTTTTATTCCTCTAAATGCTAATTATTGCTTCAAAACTGGACTGTATCAACACCTGAACTAAGAATAAGGAGTGAAGTAGTCGAACGCGTCGACAACTTCACTTATCTTGGAAGTCTGATCAGCCCTAATGGATTGGTGTCTGACGAAATCTCTATACGGATTCAGAGAGGTCGTTTAGCCTTTGTCAATTTACGTCACCTATGGCGAAGGAAAATATCCGTCTATCGATTAAGGGACGAGTATATTGCGCAGCAGTTTATTCTGGTTTACTTTACGGCTGCGAAACGTGGCTTATTTTAGTTCTTGTTTTTTATGTGTGTATTAAGCACAGTCATCAATTAATCGTTTTATTTAATCGAAAGTATGTTTGGGTTCATTAAAGCTTTCAATAGGTTCTGTAAGAACAAATTAAATTCATTTAATTCAATTCTTCCTAACTATATCAACATTATATAAGCTAGATATCTATTCTATAACATTAATTGATTAGAGAGACCCATTTTTATTATATTCCATTTATGTTCCACCAAATTAAAATTCATTATTGCTTTTAATAAAAATAATTTTTAATACCCCAATGAGTAATTTTCTACTCATCTGGATATTACAAATATATCATTTTTATTAATAACAATCTACCCAACGCTCAATTTATGTGAAATTATGAAGTCAAACCTTGGTAGTGAAACCTACAAACTCATTATTACTTTGTCTTGCTTACACTCGTTGATCAATTGAAATATCTTCCCAAAATATTGAGTTGGTAAATGCTGACTAAGCGGTCTTAGAGTTCATCAGAATATATTTCGGAATAGAATATGAATAATATTTGTTACACGCAAATGTAGTAGTAGATATTGTAATGCAATTCATCATTTATAAAAAACAATAAAATGAAGGATCTATCTCATTTTTACAACAGCATTTTATAACATGGTAATATAGTCTGAAAGAAAGCGGTGTATGTTTTGTATCTGTCAATCCGTTACTTTTGCTGTGGTCCTAGAGATTTTACAATTCAGTGGTTTATGACGTCATTCGGTTCGGCTCAGAAAATAAGCCAGTACCAATTCAGCTGTAATTTTCAGTTATGCTCTTCATAAAAACGAGTTAATTAAGGGAACTTTTTGAACGTTTTTAAACTGAACTTTATCAATAAATGCTATTCTAGTTGATTTGTTAATTGGCTTTACTACCCTTCTCTCTTTTAGTTCTTTACAATACTAAAACTTCATTCGTGTGGCCCATTTTTTCGTGCAATTTTGCACCAAAATTTATATGCTTCGAATAAATAGTTAAAATCAAACTGGGTTATTGCTCAATGATTATGTTGGCGTCCATATATTACTTTACTGACCGTGTTTACTGTGCGTGTGTGTTAAATGTAATAATTATCTCCGTAAATCTCATTAAACCCGTGACTCACAGGTTAAAATTCAGCCATTAACCATCGTCAACTACAGAACCTAGTGATTTTTATTTTACATATCTAATAACATCCTTTACATCTAACAGGATAAGAATTTTCTTTGAAATGAGAGTTAACTTTGTCTAATTTTCTTCGTTCTAGTATGTGAACAAATATCCTCAGAATCTTGGAATCGTCCCAGTCTTGACAATCAAATAAATCCAAGACTATGTGCTTGTTTAAATTGCTCATGTAATCGAATGTGGATAGAAGAGGATGAAAGAGAAAGGCGAAAAAATGCCATCGACTTTTCAGCATCTTATATTGGTCATTGCAATTCAATAACAGATATTAAAGAAGCAAATTTCTTTGGGAGGTAATTCACTGGTGCATAGTGGTGATATGTCAATGTTTTTATTTCATAAACAAGTTGACTTGACAATCTTCATGATTTGTCTTGAAAAGTAGTTACCTGGCGATGGATAATTTTAAAGGCAGTAGCATGTTTTTGAAATATTTGTTTACTGTTGGGTATTTTTCTTTTTAAGTGAATTGATGTGTGTTGGGATAACAATGTGTCCGTCAGTAATCATCGTAGATCACTTTGTGGAACCCTGAATGTATGGATAAAGGGGATGTGATAGTTATGTGTTATTTTTCACATCAACATTTTTATCATAAACTGACTGTTGTGCTTATAGAATTCTCGATATCCACAAACATAACCCAGAAAATCGACAACGAATGTGTTGGTACTTCGCTCAGGTCGGATTCAGCTTTTCTAATTATACCTACCATTCATTGGTTCTTCGTTAACGTCCAAACTAAATCATTAACACCTAAAATACTAGCCTCAATAACTATCGGGCGCCTAAAACACGTGAACTGCAAACACGAGAAAATCAGGCTGGCTTCAGACCTGGTCGTGGCTGCATCGACCACATATTCACTATTCGTTAGATTTTAGAACACAGGCATGCTTATCGGCATCTGACAATGATGGTCTTCCTTGACTTAAAAGCAGCATTGACTCTGTTGACCGAGAGGTTCTGTGGCAATGTCTGTCATTGAAAGGCGCACCTCAGAAGTGCATAAACCTTGTGAAGACTCTTTATCCGAACACTACTAATCGATTGAGAGCTTATAGTGAACTGTCATCTGATTTTGCAATCTCAAGTGGTATCCATCAAGACTGTCCACTATCTCCATTTTTGTCCAACTTCATCATAGACCTACTGATGGAAATAATGTTCTCGTTGACTGAATTCTCGGGCATTGATCTCCTTTTAAGAGGTCCACTTATCGACTTAGAATACACAGATGACATAGTTCTGTTTGGTGATGTTAGCGGGACATAGACTGGATTAAAGCATGCTCAATGCACGATTTCTTTGGTGCACGCTGATTGGCTAATTCTTATCGAATCAGCGCTAGTCGATATTTTGAGAATACTCTAGATATCTTCTCATGTGAAAACTATAAATATACTAACGTTTCTCCTAATGTGCTTCTTACTTCCATCTAACCTTGTTATTTAGAATATAATTCTTTCCTGTTCAACCGTGTTCTGAATTGGGGACTTGTCGAGTGATTTGGTGTCCAAGCCTACTAAGCAATAGGAATAGCTGGGTTATAACCTTAAGAGAGAAATATAACAAATGAAGACGCTGATAAATTGTAGTCTTTTGGCAGCACTAAACAACAACGCTAGGATGTTTGGGATGCGTTTCTTTCTCTTTAAATGCAAGTTGTTGCTTCAGGACTGGCCTGGGTAAGAGTAGAAGATACTCGTAAGTTACTAGTATTTGACCACAGATGCCTTAGAAATATTGCCAGCATCTGTTGGATCACCGGGTAAGTAATAGTGAGTTTAGACGCAAGGTATTAGGGAATGATTGTAAGTCAGTTGATGAGGTTGTGAATCTTCATTGACTGGGATGGTTGGACCATGTATTATACATGCCTAACCACCGACTAACATGACGCGAAATGTTGAATGGGGTTGGAGGTAGATGGAAGGTTAGGGGCGGCCAAACCAAAACATGGCATCAGTCCATAGAGTCACTAACTTCTAGGTTGAGTCATGTTGGTAGATACAGACTACTTGGTTGGGGTCCGCGCGACTAACGTAACTAGTGATTGGAGACTCTGGGTAATATGTCTCAGAATCGATCACAATGACGTAGGTATATACACTCTTTGTCTTTCCTTAAACTGTGGGATTAAAATTTTTTAATACCTTTTTTTCTACGAAATAATTTTTTCTCCATATTATATCCTCATATGCAATCTTTGTTTTAATGCATTACTATCATTGAGGTAACTGCTTCTATGAATTGCTGTTCATCTTGTGTTAATGAGGTGTGGCAGCTTGTGCCTCGTCCTACGTTGTAGTTGTTTAAATGACTGATGCTAAATCTCTAAAATAATTGTGTAGATAAAATTTCATCTACTCTGAATGTCTTAATAATTCGTTAGATTCAGGTAAACTTACTCCCTCGAAACTTGACTTGGAAATAGAAAGCTGCTGAAACTATTATTAAACATATAAAATTATAAAGATGAAACATGATATCAACGTTTAGTGTTTAGTATTCAGGGAACAATCAGTGGGAATCCTCGACTAGACTTTAATTCACCAGCAAGGGATATGTGCGCTAGCATGAAACCTGATACTCCATCAAGTATTCTACCGTACATTACTCAGTGTCACTGTCGCAGATGTTCTGGTGCGTGCTACTTATACTGACATAAGTAGTATATAATGCGAGTCAGAAATGTAATGTCTGGCAACAGAAGATTGGGAAGATCAAGAAAGAAAGAACGGGAATAGAAAGCAATAAGAATAGAAATGTAAGAACTATGAAGTCCGAGACAATTATTGAACATTTTGCAAATTAAGTATTATAGTATGGTTTTTCTATTTTACCAATTAACTCTGTAATGTTGTGTTAAATATAATTCGGTTGTCCTCACCTGTGTTCTCCACTACAATGTTACCGTTATACTATTCTAGTTATGTTCGTTATTTAGTCGTTATATGTAACAGCAGTTATTTAGTTTCCAAAAGTGCATTGATCACCAACTTAAATTACTTTGTTATTTTAGCTATGGGCAATATATTGTCGGTGGGTCTGATTGTGGTGCATTTTTTATATGGGATCGTAATACAACTAATATAATGCGTATATTGAAGGCTGACAGTTCTACTGTGAACTGTGTTCAACCTCATCCGTCTATTTGTTTGTTGGCAAGTTCCGGAATTGACTCTGTTGTAAGACTATGGTCACCGAATTGTGAAGTAAGAATATTATTGATCAATTATAGTATATTATTGTTATAAAAGCTTTCCTGCCTGGAGAGGTATATTTATCATCATGGAATGTTCTATGTATATTAGTTCCACCGATAAAACACGACTTTTCATGTTGTTGTTGTAATGGGATAATTACTAAGTGTATACTTATAATTTTTGAGAAATACAAGTAACTTAAACTATGTCCTTTTACGTCGTCCATCAAGAGTAGAATAAACGACACAAAGCTAGGCACTTTGTTGTACAGTTTTTATGTATGAATTTTGGGATTGAATATTCTTTAAAAAAAAGCTTCATTTATTTGACAGTTGTTGCTTCTTAGTACCACTTCTACGTGGTAAAACCACTGAAGGAGATCAATATTAAAAACTATTTAAAACACAGATCAGTCACGAGGTTACAAACAGTGTCTAGTGTCAATTTCGGTAGGCTTAGCGTGAAAGGTACTTATGTGTGACCATACTTCACGTAGATTTTCTGATTGGGATTTCTAACGTTTCGTAAAATGTGGTAGATAAAGACCTATGGGATGCAATCTGTCCCAGTGGTGTTCGATAATATCCTTTTTCTTAGATTTTACAGTAAAATACGAAACATTGTATAATTCTGTTTAATTTTATGTAACTGATATTATAGTGATATTGATTTGATACATTTCGGTGTCATATTCTACATCGGTCTTGTTCATTTTAATATTTTTTGTCATCAAGTTTAAGAAAAACTTTATCGATACCATGTCCAGTTTCTACGGTGAAATATGCTATCAAAAATTGATCGCGTTTGTCAATACTTTTATATTTCATCGGGTTTCATAGGAGTGGTTTATTTCCTGTCACTTCTATAGTATGGTATTTATAAAACTACAGGTTTTTATTAATAGCACTTCTTTTCTTTGTCTCTTTATCCCCAGATTATCTGATAAAGTTAAGGGTAAGAGAGACCATTTTCCCTCTCGAAATGCTCTCATATAGCTATGGATTTCTAACCTCTGTTAGGAAAGTTCAACCCTCTGTGTCCTCGCAGTGCTCTTGTTATTTGCGAAAGTGAGATATTGAAAAGGGAATGTCGCGCACTGAAACCGTGCTAGTGAATCCGGAGAATTGACCTAGGGGAGTTGGAAATCCCTGATTTAAAACCAATGGTGTAAATGATATTCAGGATCCTAATAGGATGAATAACGCGTGGACCTATTCTGGTCATTGTCTAACATAGAGTTACATCTCATAACTCTGTTCCACTGCCTTTTAGATTATACTTTTTATCTAAAGGCTCGGAGATTGACCCCCTAAAAAACTACCTTCGTCTGTTAGGGCTCTTGGGTAGTAAGAATCTCAGTCCATTCACAATTATGGCTATCGCTAACAATGAAGGAAATAATTTACCTTCATTGGTCATACATTTCATTCGAACTTCATTTGGCTATTTAAACCGAGTTCTTTTTTGGCTACTTTTTGAATGATTATCGAAAGTACAGATGTTAAATTATAGAAACCTTCAAGTCATCGTTGTTTTTTGATGACATTAATTTGAAATTATTTAAAGTGGACAATATAGGTTTGAGTAGAATCAAACTTATCAACTTACATAAACTGTGGTATGGCCGAGAGTGGGGCGGGCCTCTCTCCCTCTCGAAATGCTCTCACACGGCCACGCGTATACAGCCTCTGCCAGGGAAGTCCTACTCACTGCCTTCTCGTGGCGGGGGTGTTGTTTACGAAAATGAGAGGACGAAAAGCGAATGTCCGGCGATTTAACCGGATTACAAACCAAACCAATGGTGCACATGGGCACCAGTATCCTGCGGGAACAAATGGCGTATGAACCAATTTTCGGTCACCGGTTACCATGGGACTGCATCTCCTCACGATGCTCCACTGCCTTGTGGGTTAGACCTTTAGGTCAAAGGCTCGGGGTGTGGCCCCCTAAGATAACCACCTGCTTCGGTCTGGGCACCCGGGCAGTAGCACAGCCCGCACATACACAAATATGGTGTGGCGCATATATATTTGGTGCCCTCTTATACCAATATTTATGTGTTGAAATAATAATAATAATCATCTCGAATCACAAATTACGTTGTTATTGCTACATTAACTAGAAGAGTTGCAGAAGAAAATTAACACTTACTTGGCTAGGGCATATCACTAATCCATTGATGGCCATAATCAATCTACTTAGTGTGATTTATGCGCAAAATATTTCCAGTTATTCGGTTAAAGTTTTTGATAGAAATTAGTCACCAGTACTCAAACAGTTATCACTAAGTGTTTTTTTAAATCTCTATATTGTGTGATTTATCCGTAAATGGTTATGTGTAAACAGTATTTATGGGAAAAAATGTAGTTTGAGAAGACATATTTTACTGTTTAAATAATACGTGTGTATTTATTAATAAATTTCAGTGCACACCCTCTCTTATTTATTCACGTTGGATTTGATTAACTGAGTGGGATATTACGTTAAATCTAATCTATACATATTACAATGTGGACAGGAAGTAATGGAATTTGCTATGGCTTCTCGGATTTATTCCTCTACAATCCACTTTTATATTGAAGGTTTTACTAATCGTATTAGAAAAAAACAGCTTCACTTTTGTTTAAAGAAATGAAATAGCTCATTCGAACAGCTATAGGTGATCATTCCTTTCTGTTATTGTCGCATTAATCAACTAAATCGGTTTGCCAGAGATGTCTAAAAATATACTCTTTTTTTAATAGAAAATAATATTCTTTCGTTGTCGACTTTTTCAAATATTATGCACTTAGTAGTTTTATGAACTCCTTTAGAAACAGATTATCTTTGCTCTCAAAACATTGGTTTTATATAGTTAATTTTCTTGTAATTTTAATATGAAAATTATCGGTTCATGTTTGCTCAAATTTGGTGTTTATGTGATTCAAGACAGATTTTAATGTAATTTTCCTTCTTGATTCATGTCTTTTCACTTTGAATATTCCAGACATTTCGTGCACAACGTTCCCTCTCACATTAAACTACATCAAATGCAATGATTCAGTCTGCATTAAATTGTTTTATTTTGAAGTAGTTCAACCTGCACTGTATTTTAGTTTTATTTCCGATCTCTGATTCATGATAAGTTTTAATCCTGATAGGAAATCAATAGTGCTACGGAGTTATATAATTGACTAGCCTCATTTTAGTAGATGATTCATACTATACCTTTAAAGACGTTTATTTTGTCTTCTCCTTTATTGAAACATGTTATTCAGATTTCATATCGTTGAAGGTTATGTGTTATGTTTTTGTGATATTTATTAGTTGGTTAAAGAGACAATTGATCAGTGGGCTAACATATTATTTTATTTAGTCAGATGATGATATGCATAACTTATTTGATGGTGTTGATTTCACCTTCATAACTAACTACATCGAAATAATCGACATTTTTCGTTACAGTCTTGTATTCTTAGTTAACACCATTCAAATAAAGGTTAAAGGGAAATTTGTAGATACACTCATTTTTTTATAATGAGACGATTGATTCGATAAAAATACACTGCTGTAACTTAGGCCGTCTTCGAGTCTCAACGAAACACATCCCGAAATACAGAACTACTGACTAACGTAATGTGTATCAGGAAATTAAAACTAATTTAAATATTAGGTAAAAGTTCTTTAGTAAAAGATCAAATTAAAGGTCACATGATAAACACTGACCTTTCACTGTAGCTCGTCAAGTCAATTATGTTTGGGATCTAACAGCCTTTACTCTAAACTATATATACTATGATCTTGGATATCATTGTGAATCATTATCACCAAAAAGTGAGTAGTATGTCAATGATAATCTAATTTTAGTCGTTATACTTAGGTAATCACCATGCCAACATTTTTGAATAGCTCCGTTTTCGAATTACATAGTTTATTATCAACCGTAATCACGCTTATGTAAAGGTAAATTGTTTCCCATGTTGCGACTTTCTGATTGGTGAGAGTTGAAATGAATTTGACTATAGTAAAACAGATTTTTCGTCTTATTCATCTGAGAAAGAATTTCTTGTATCTATTTATTTATTTTTGTTAAGAGGAATATTCAATGTGACTTTTTATTTCCAGGAAGACCCTGATCAATCACGAGTTGTTAGAGATCAAGTTGGAGCAGCTGAACGGAATCAACAACGTTCTAACGCTGATCCTCTGGAAATAATGTTGTTAAATATGGGTTATAATTTTCGTGGTCTTGATTTTGATTCTAATAGAGCTAGGAGATCGAGAAATCGCGATTGTACTGATGAACGGAATAACGAAGAAGAGAATGAATCTAGTGATGATGACGATGATGATCATAATAATAACCACGACAACATCAATTTCGAAAGAGATTCTTATTCTGCACTGCAACCTTCTGGAAACGAAACCCATACTAATGCCAATCATCCTGCTGGAAGTCTTGACGACACATTGCACAGTGAATCTTTTCTGAATAACGTAAATTTAGTGAATGAAAGCATTGAAGGAGTTGGTCAAACTGATAGTCAAAAACGTACTGGGAATGAATCCATTGATTTATCTTGTCAGTTAGGTTGTTCTCAAGCACCTAAGCAAAAACGAACAAAAATAGGAAGTTTAACTGATGAAGAAACCTCTTTTCAACCATCTGTCGCTGCTATCATATTCAATAGTGATTTGAGTTCTGATGATGATGATGAGCCTAATGCTACTTCAGTAGATAAGAATACACAATGTCGACGTAATCGTTCACGTCGAATACAGTCTAGTCATAGTCGACATATAAGACATATTCGTACACGAAGAATACCAATTAGTGCCACTTTTTCTGATTCCGACGTTGTAACTACTCCATGGTTAATTGATTTTTTCCCTATTGAAGTTCATTCAGTCAATTCACAGTCAACATTAAATGAAACATTAAGTGAGCGAGAAGAGCCAGGACAAGAGGAACGAAGAAATACTTATCGAGAGGATGATGATAGAGACGATGATAACGGTATATCAGAAGTCTCTTGCACGTAAGAATTTATCATTTTCATTGTGAACTGTTCGGTACATTAAAAAAAACTCATTCTTCCCGTTAATGAGAATGTATATCCTCAGGCCGATAATTCAGGGTACTTTATTAATTTTTAAAACAAACGCCATCTTCTTTAGCATGCTATCCAAATAAGTTGTGGTTCAATAAATTATTCTTTCACATTATGATGCAATGTAGCTTTGTAACTAATTGCCGGTTCTTGTTATCATTTTTAATTCACAACTCTTTCTTTAACAAACTGCTGATATCACGTTGTCCAGATGAAAGTACATGGAAAAGTGCTTAAATTCACAACTACAAAATCTGAGTCATACACACTGCTAAGTCTCTGTTCTGGTGAATCTAGATAAAAGTAGTCAGTTTTTTTAAAAAAAAAAAAACTATGACAATTATTTAATTCTGTTGACTATGTTTTTCTTTGTCTCTTTGAATTAAGCACTTTGCTGTGGATTTTATAGTTTATCATGAAAGGCATCATATTTTATGTAACTTAAAATGTCACTTATTATTATTATTCGCTTATCCTAAAGCAACTTAAGAAAGCTGTTTATCATCTACGTTTCTACAACTAACATATAGTTGTTCAAAATTCTTGCTAAAGTTCTATTAAACTTCTCTCCCAACGTAGTAAAGTACTCCTGAAATATAAAAAACTCATCCTATTGAAAGTTATGGGTTTCTCTTAAAATACCAAAGCATCAATAAAAACTGAACTTTTTAACACGCTGATAAATTTATTACAGTATGTATGACGTCAAACTAATGATGATTAGTTATTCAAATGTCTTATACAAAGTTAACTGTACTCATCATCATTACGTTAAATAGAATAGCCATTCTGTTTTCTGTAGCGTATATGAAGGATTTTAAGTGGTTAAACTATTTACAGCTCATCTGATGTTAGTGAACATAACCAAGTTCGTCATATATAGGTCGAATCTTCAAAAAATCATTGATATCTTTGGGATAAATTGGTGACTGATAGTTAGGCGAATTCGACATGCGAATAATTTATAAGTCACGAAGTTGGCTTAAAGGAATACAAATTAAGTGACCATAACACAGCTATGAAGATAAACACCTATTAGCCAATAACCTATGCTACTTTGTAGTGAGAAATTAAGGTTTGACCATTTATAATGTAGGCCTTGAATCTAGTAATTAAGTTGTCTTACGTTTGTATTAACAGTTATATTTAACACATTATGAATAATTGTTTTTATTTAAATTCACCTCTTATATTACATTTTTTAAAGTAAAGTCGTTTAAGAGAAGACTAAGTGATTCTACTTCATGACATACTATTTCGGACATTCGTATCCATATCTTTTTGCTTCGTTATTGGGGAAATTGAGTTTCAACTAAAGGCTTCTAAGGGCGTATTTATATGGTTATTGTTGTTTAGTGCAGAAGTTAATTCATTCATATCCTATCAGAAACAACTCGAGGAAACATATTGGAACTAAGCATACTCTACTCGTTCATATATTTAAAATTGTTAACCAGTTGTTAACTTCACTGTAATTATCAGGTGTTACTCCTCGGTAAAGTAGGTCAGTAATAAAATAACGTTACTTCATGTCAAATTTTATTACACTACTAGAGTTCTGAAGCATTTCTACTTGTTAACTTGCCATGTAGCTCCCCATTTTTATGAAACTTTAATCTACTTGACAAAACTACTGGTACGGTTAAGGTTAATCAAACCGATAGTTAAACTAGTAAGATTTTTTACGGAATCCCAATTACATCTGTTTCGTTGTAACATTCCACAGGAGCTAAAGATTATAGCTTTGGTCGAGCAAATTACATAATGATTTACAATGTAGCATACTAGACAGTCACTCATTTATCGTATATCAACTATTACCAGTTTGTATTCAGATTGCATACTTACTTACGCCTGTTATTCCCAATAGAGCATAGGCCGCGGACCAGCATTCTCCATCCCACTCTGTCCTCGGACTTCTTTTCTAGTTCCATCCAATTCTTGTTCATTTTCCTTATTTCTATCTCCATTTCCCGGCGTAAAATGTCCTTTTGTCTTCCTCTTCTCCTTTGGCCTTGAGGACTCCATGTGAGGGCTTGTCTTGTGACGTGGTTGGGTGCTTCCCTCAATATGTGTCCTATCCACTTCCAGCGCTTCTTCCTGATTTCTTCCTCCACTGGGATCTGGTTTGTTCTCTCCCATAGTAGGTCGTTGCTAATAGTGTTCGGCCAACGGATCCGAAGTATTTTGAGTAGACAACTGTTAATAAACACCTGTATCTTCTGGATGATGGCTTTCGTAGTTCTCCAGGTTTCCGTACCATACAGTAGAACTGTCTTGAAATTTGTATTGAAAGTTCTGACCTTGGTGTTGGTTGACAGTTGTTTTGAGTTCCAGTTGTTGAGTTTGTCAGTATCCCAAAGGAAATCCGTATTAAACATTTGTGATGTTGTCCGCCCCGTTTCCAGTGCTTCTTAAGTTTAAATTTCTACTTGGTGACCGGCAGATGATGATCTGATGTTATATCAGCTTCTCTCTTGGTTCTCATACCTTCTATTGCCTTCTGAACTTTCTGTTGATGCAGATATGGTCGATTTGGTTCTGTGTAGTGTGATCCAGTGAAGTCCATGTAGTTTTGTGTATGCGTTTTTGTGGGAATATAGTGCCGCCTATGACCAGTTTGTTGAAGGCACATAGGTTTGCAAATCTCTCACCATTTCTGTTTCTTCTGTTCCATGTCGTTCCATGATGTCTTCATATCCGGTATTCTTCATTCCAACCTTGGTGTTTAGGTCTCCCATCAGAATGGTCAAGTCCTTTGTTGGACACTTCTCGACGATTGGATGCAGCCTATCGTAGAATTGATCTTCAACATCTTCATTGTAGTCGTTGGTAGGCGCATAGCATTGGATGTCGTTCACTGTAATGCCCTCTTTCTTTGTTTTGAAGGAGGTTTTGATGACCCTTAGTCCATGAGGTTCCCATCCTATAAGTGCATTTTGTTCTTGTTCGGACAGCATCAATGTAACTGCCTATCTATGTGAGGCATTTTCTTCTTCATGGCCGAAGTATAATAGAGGCTCTCCTGAAGCTAGTTGTTGTTGTCCAACTTGCGTACAATGTGTTTCACTGATTCCAAGCACCCCCAGGTTGTATCTCCTCATTTCTGCAGCAATTTGGAAGACTCTCGGTCTCCCACGTTGTACGAGCACTCTATGTACCTAAATAAATGGTTGCTCTGGTTGTCATAAGGGGCATCGATTCAGACAGCTGTATCTCCTAAAATAACTAATTTTGAAAACTCTAATTCCGTTTGCTTGCCATTCATTGTAAAGTTCTTGCTAGATGGCCTGAACAGATAAACTTAAACGGCTGGGATGTTTGTCCGAAACCTTTTTATCTTCAAATTAAACCACTGGATATTTATATCGTGATTTATTTTATTTCTCATGTGATTCGTGTAATTTTACTTGATTAGAATTTTGTCCACAAAATTCATTTTTTTATAAATCACATAACTTATATGTATGAAAACGTAAATACTAATTTTTGTTTATCCATCTGTTCAGTGTCAGTTGAATAACTTCTCTCCCCCACATCCATCTTCATCCACGATGTATTCCAAATAACAATTGTTAAAAGAAAACAATATATTGTGTTTTGCTGGCATACTTTGATGATAATTCCGCTAACTAAATTTATTATTACCTAATTTTGCTACTTTTTCTGTGTTGCTGATCTCTATTGCTTTGTGTTATTGTTCTTTTTTATGTTTTTGTTCATTGTGTCCACTTATAGAGTCTTTTATTAAATTTGATATAGTCAAATTACGATTCTTTTGTTCATTGAGAATTGTATGACGTAGTGGTTAACTTAATTGGTTGTACATGTGTACTTATTTGTTTTAGTAACTGGAATTAACTGTAAACTACCACCTCTTATTTCATTTAATTCATATTAAAAACATACTGTTGTTCAGTTTTGTAAGTGTAAGAAATACTTTTAAGCTGACGATATTAATAAACTTAATAATTTGTGGGATTTGTTCTGCATTAACTTTTTATCAAATATTTGTTAATATAAAGTCAACTTTTTGAAAATGGTTTAAATATATTCTTTATTTACCATTATTATTGTTATTGTTATTCATATGAATACTAGTACCACTCCTGAGTAATATACCAAAAACACGCAATTGTTTAGATCTTATAAGAAAGTCTGGAAGTAATTTAGCACTAATTCTTAACTACTTTAAATCTTAGTGATTGACTTGATGAATACCAGGATGAAATAGTCTTTTAGGATATTGATGATGGTAACGAGATAAACGATTTTTCAGTTTGTTAATTGATATTTTGTCCACCGATTCGTCATCGAATGAAGTAAATACAGTTTTGTATAATGTACTAAATAATTAACTACTTATCAGTTTATTTATTGAGATGAAATCACCAGAGAAAATATATTTGTTATAAAATATAGAAAAGATCATTGATCACTGTACGTGTTGACTTTTGTGAGACGTACGCTACTTGGTAATTCTAATCGCTCCTTAACGTTAGGTCGAATTTTTGGCAACTGATCTCAGATTTGACATTGGGTCATTAACAGGTATACTTTATGATACCGCTCTCTGAACTACTGTAGTAAACAAATGACTCTCATCTTGTCAAGTGTAAATTTCAACCATTAAGTAATCCACTTTACAACTACATAGTCTATACTATAAATGTATTATGCTTTACAGGGTGGTACTTTTCGAACCCTAATAGTTTAAGCAATCTGTTTTGACCGTTATATCGCGAGTTTGATTACCTGTGTATCCAATTCAGTTTGAGTGTACACTCAATGTATTTAACAATTAAATACATGGAAGTTTCCTGTGATTTTGGTTTAGTAAATTATATACGAAACGAACAAATGCCTATATTATCTAACTAGATTCTAATTATTAAATTATGATTAGTATTATTTATTTATTTATTTGAAAACATAAATATTGGTACAAGGGAGCACCAAATATATATGCGCCACACAAAACAACGGTAATGGGAATAGAAGTAAAAGAAGGTAAGGAGCGTAAAACAAAAAAGGAAAGAACAGATTAGTGTAAGATGGTGTAATAATAATAATGGCAGAAACAGAAAAGTACAACCAGAAGAAATCTTTCAGTTAAGGGAGACACAACCACTTTTTATGAAGAAAGTAAAAGGTTACAGCAGGATCGCCACTGGCTTCTATTCTGAGCCATATCTGATAACGTCTCTAGCCACTGTGTTGCACCATCTCTCGGACCCCAACCAGGGAGTCGTGAAGGACCAACAGAAGCCAGTCCTTTGCAGCTTTCTTTCATACCACGACACCATGTCATGCACTGACCACCTCTCCGCTTCTTCCAACCAGTCCCAGAGTCGGCAAATAATGCACGACGTGGAATTCTCTGGGACGACATTCGTAGAACATGTCCAAGCCACCGAAGTCGGTGTTTCAAGATGGTGACACCAATTGATTATCATCTCTGTGCCCGAACACACGATGCCGAACCTCTGCATTACTGACATGGTGTTGCCACTGGATGTCAGCAATCCTTCGGAGACAGCGATGATCGAACACAGAGAGTCGTCTAACGTCCTCAACTCGGAGAGGCCAGGTTTCACAAGCATAGAGCAAAACTGCTCTCACCGACGCGTTGTAGATCCGACCTTTTACAGCCAGACTAACATCACGAAGGCGCCAAAGGTGGCCCAGATTGGCATAAGCCGCTCTGGCTTTCACTATACGTGCATTGATCTCATCACTCACACCCCACCAGCACTTATGCAGCTACCCAGATACACGAACTTCTCGACTACTTCTATCTGCTCACCATCCAGGGTGAGTACAGGATTAGAATCCTGCCAGTCTTGTAGAAGTACTTTGCACTTCGAAGGTGCAAAGCACATACCATACCTACGGACACTGATTGCCAACTGATTAAGTGCGGATTGCATGCCTTGGGCATTATCGCACAGTAAGACAATATCGTCCGCATACTCAAGGTCGAGAAGTCTTTCTCCAGGCAACAGATCCACACCACCATTACTTACATCCATCAGAGCTGTTTCCAGAATGTCATCGATGGCAAAGTTGAAGAGGAATGGTGAGATTGGGCAACCCTGCCTAACCCCACTGCTCGAATGGAACAATGGAGAGAGGTGGTTGTATGCCCTCACTCTGCCTGAGGTGTTTTATATAGGGCTTTTAGGATGTTAATAAACTTCTCAGGCACACCCTTCTTCAATAGACAATCCCAGAGAACAGTCCTATCCAACGAATCGAAGGCAGCCCTGATGTCAAGAAACACTACGATTGTTGGCCTTTGATAAGTATGGCGGTGTTCTAACATTTGGCGGAGGGTGAAGATATGATCAATACATCCTCGACCAGAACGAAACCCAGCCTGCTCCTCGCGAGTCAATCTTTCTCGGGTTTTGAACAACCTACGAAGTATGACGGAAGCCAATAGCTTGGACGCAATCGGAAGTAGACTTATCCCCCGATAGTTGTTACAGGAACGACGTGAACCCTTTTTAAAGATAGGGACAACTATCGACTCATTCCATGACGTTGGTACACTCTCTAGTTCCCAAACCTTTGTAAACAACGTCGTCAATTCCTTAGTCAAAAAGTCACCACCATCTTTAAAAAGAGCCGGAGGTAAGTCATCTGGGCCAGGTGATTTGTAACGCTTCAAGAGTTGGAGTTCCTTGCGGACTTCCTCCTCATTTGGTGGATCAGTCGTCACCGGCCATGGAGGGCAGGACAGTCTGACCGATGTTGCCGGAGCAGCAGGCCAGTTGAACTGCCCTTCGAAAAATTCTGCCCATCGTCCAAGACGTCGATGGATGTTAGTGATTGGCATCCCATCATCCTCGCAGATTGTTTCACTCACACCAGACTTCTTGCTGCCAGTGGCTCGGATGAGTTGGAAGAGCTTCCGGTAGTTACCAGATGCAGCTGCTGCTTCCAGCTCATTAGCACGCTCGACCACCAGGCTTCTCGGTCCTTACGCAAGCTTTGCCCAATTTCCTTACGTAACATCCTTCGTTTGTGGTCAAACTCACGGTCACCCGGAGTAGACCGACGGGCTTCAATGAGTTGTAAGGAACCAGAAGAAACCCAGTGCTTATAAGCGGGACGTTTCGCGAACCCACAACTGACTGTTCCCGCCATTTTCATGGCGTCATGCAATTGCAACCAATGCTCATCTATTTTTTTCGGTGGAGTGGTAGCTAGCCTAGAGGCTAGCTCGGTTCGATACTTACTTGCAACAGAAGTTGCAACCAGCTTGCTAACATCAATCCGTTGGTGGCGGTCACTTCGTTGTCCACTGAAAAGTAAGGTAAGATTGGCGCAGACCAAGGCATGGTCAGAGTCCAGATAGGTACTCCAAAAGGAGCGGCAGTCTTGTACACAACCACACCAGGTCTAACCCACAAGGTAGTGGAGCATCGTAAGAAGATGGAGTCCCATGGTAACCGGTGACCGAAAATTGGTTCATACGCCATTTGTTCCTGCAGGATACTGGTGCCCATGTGCACCATTGATTTGGTTTGTAATCCGGTTAAATCGCCGGACATTCGCTTTTCGTCCTCTCATTTTCGTAAACGACACTCCGCCACGAGAAGGCAGTGAGTAGGACTTCCCTGGCAGAGGCTGTATACGCGTGGCCGTGTGAGAGCATTTCGAGAGGGAGGGCGAACCCACTCCGCTCTCAGCCATACCAGGGCATTTGGGGGCATTATGATCAGGCAGTAATATGTTTAACTAAGCCTGTAGCTCTTCTAGGGCTACTGCTGATCCCAAGCACGGGTAAAGGTGGAGGTTTAGGCATGCGATCGGCAACCTTTTACCGTAGAAAACAACCTTGCTAGATCAAAACACTAACCATAATAAACAATTAAAACTCTGCCCTGTGAGTTGAAGGAAGTATTATGACTCCTCATGTTGAAAGCGGACATTCTTCGAAAGTTACGAGACCGATGCCCCTTCTGTTAATCAGAGCAACGATTGATATAGATACATGAAATGTTCGGACAATGTCGGAAACCGGGAAGATCAGTCAAGTAGCTGTGGACATGAGGAGGTACGACTTGACGGTGCTCGGAATGAGTGAAATCCATCGGACCTAAACTGGACAGAAAACGATAGATTCGAGAAAGACGCTGCTGTACTTTGTTCATTAAGAAAATTTCCACACACAGGGAGTTGCTCCGATGCTATCTAAAGAAGCATTTGAAGCACTTATAGGATATGAATCTCGTGGACCCAGGATCGTCGAAGCATCTTTCAAAATAAAGGTGGGAATCAATGAATGTTATGCATCCACCAATGATAGCAATGACGACAATAAGGATCATTTCTACGAGAGGTTGAAATCAGTCATAGCGAAGTGCCCAGTAAAGGACGTGATCATTCTGATGAGAGACTCAAATGTCGAAGTCGTAATGGACAACACTGGGTATGAAGATATCATGGGACGACATGGACTGGGAGAAAAGAACAAGAATGGTTACAGATTAGAAAATTTATGTGCATTC